GGGGGGGGGGCGGGCAAAGGGGAGAAGAGAGTGCGAAGGAGGACGAGAAGAGAAGTAAAAGAGGAAAAGGGAAAAGAGAGAGAGGACTCTCATACCTCTTCCCGAGATAAAAGATACTAACTTGCGAGCTTTATCGCGGCGCGGGCCTGACTTACTCGGGGATAAATACGCCCGCTTCGTTATCGATCCTCGCCTGATAACGCGAGAGACGAACCTCCGTTTCCTCGATTCCGCGCGTTCGTCATTCCGACAAAGCGCGCCGCGACTGACACCCTGTATCGCGCGACTGGGACGGCAAGAGAGGAAGAGGATGAAGACTGTCACGCTATCATCGACATTACATTTAACTCGATTATGCATGTAATGCGTACACTGTTATTTGGCGATTAACTGGTGTAATGAAAATTAATTATGTAAAACACGAGCCGTTGTCGGTGACCGGAATTGTCACGAAAATTGTGCGAAAGTAAGCGCGGAAATACGCCCGCTTCTCCGTTTGCCCGTTTGTATGTCCACTCGCGGACGCGAGCGGAAAACTCGAGCGCCGTTCGTTCGCGTCTTCGCGCGAATTTTCGCGATATACACGAATTCGTCTCATCACCGGCACGTAAAAATGTTCTTTCCGGCTCGTGCGCCGTTTATTTTCCCTCTCGAGTCGCGGTGTAGCACGGAACACCGCGTCGAAACGGATGGATGGGGAAGGCAAGCGAAAGCGACTTCGGTTCCTGATAACTCCGCAAAAAGTATCTTGACGCTTCGCGCGTCTGCTGTCCAATTAATTTCTATTAATTTCTATTAAAATATATTCTCAAGATTTGTTTCTGTCTCTCTTTCTCTTAAGGCCCCAGCAGAATGGTTGACTGATAATTTTAAGACTTTAATGTTTTATGCCTCAAATTTTTATCTAAGTTAGCATTTATCCTTTTTATTATACAACAGTTTGCCATCGATCATGTACATAGCGGCTTTTTAGTTTAGCCCTCTAACAGCAAGGTGGATTTTCAAAGTATTCGAGAAAGCGGGGTCAAATCCGACCCTATGCTCTTATTTTGCTCATTTTCCATGTAATCAATGTACAAAATGGATAAAAGATTTCGTGTCATCGCGAAACATTCCTTAAGAAGAGGAACGCGCGCACGCTGTAAAATAAACGAAGCCGTAGGGTCGATCCGGGACCCCACCTTACCGTTAGAGAATTAAGACTCGACACAAGACAGTCATTGTGCGTTATTCAAAGACAAAGACTTGAGGCATAAAACATCGTCTTAAATCAATAAGTCAGCCATTCCTGCCAAGGACCTTAAGTCTTTCACCCGAGCCCCGTCGGCTCCGCGACGCATTCCTCGTGCGATTACAATTCACGTACAACAATGTTAATTAATATGTAGCATAATTCGCGTTCCTGGCAAGACGAGGCTATTCCGCGTCCTTTCCTCACGTCGCGCAGTCAATTGCTCGTCTGCGAGCGTCGTTACATCTAATTCAGGAATGATAACGCGGGTTCAGAGACCCCCCCTCGCTCTCTCTCTCTCTCTCTTCCTATTCGATCGCTCGTCTCGCCAGTCGATCTTCGATCGCGCGGAATGACGAACAGCTTCGTCTAACATAATTAGCCGGCGTACACACCGATTGGTCGACCTCGCGTAAACTGATAATGCAAATAACGCCGAATCTGGGGATTATCATTCAGCGGCTGGCTATGTACGCGGTGTCCCAGTTCGACCGCGTGGAATCCGGCCGAATAATCAATCGACGAGTACAACTATTTCGAGAAGGAGGAAGGCTGACGTTTCACCTACCTACCTCTATTTTCCTATCTCCCTCCCGCACTCTCTCTCTCTCTCTCCCTTTCTTTCTCTCTCGTATGTTCGATTTTTGTTTTATAAATGAGAAGGACGATTCGGTACAAGAGCACAAGGACCGCAAAGCGCATGTGTCCGCGTTATCGCGCAGCGTAGCGGATAACGAATGTCGGATTTTAGCTTCGCCCAGGAAGATGGATCCTTGTTTGTTTCGCGAGTAAGCGCGACCATCGGTGGTCGAATGATCGGAGACGCGGGGAACCGGTAGTTCGGGGCCGAATGAATGGGCGGAGAAATACGAAAGAAGGCCCGAAAATTCAGCGAACGTGCGATTTCGGATGCATGCGGGATCAAGGAAATGCACGGGGAACGTGACACCGTCGGGTGGTCTAACGTTTCGTAATACGTGCCGGGCGCGTATTCGACGCTAAATGCAGCCGTCCGCGATTCCGAGGCTGAAGCAACATTGTATTATGTGACCTTCGTGCGAGACAAAGGGCCGCGCGCTCAGACCGCCCATTTAGCGTTAAGTGTGGCCGTCCGATTTTCGAGCTTGGTTTGTCCCACACGAAGGACACATTGCGCGTTGTGCCAACCTTGGGAATTAGCCGTTTGTTTACGGCTAAACGTCTAGTCGGAATGAACGCTAACCGCAAACGAGGCTCGGCGATCTGGATTCGGCCGTATTTAACGTCGAACACGTGGCCAGGGCGCGACGTCGTGCTGAGACTCTGGAAAATTCGTCCAAATTTAATAAGCACAAATTTCAAACACGATTCGAAAATACAGGTAGAGAGAGAGAGAGAGAGAGAAAGGGGAGATTCATAATAGAATATATTAATTTAAAGGTTTAAAGGTCACTAAGTTTGAGAATAAGGCCGTCTGAAAGACGATCCGTTCTAACCGCGGGCGCAGTTCGCGATTATTTATTCCGTCTAAGAAGATAATCAATCGCAAACGCGACTTTCTCTCTCTCTCTCTTGCCGTGTCTTCCTAATTACTCATCTTATTCAGTCTCTTTAGAGTCACTAACGAGTTTACGAGTTTACGTGCGCAAACGCGAGAAGCGCACCGGCTAATGTGCCGGGCGTAGCAAGGCAGGAGCCGAGAGTTCTCGCTGGTGAGGCAAGTTTTCAAATCGGCCCACTTCGATTATCCGAAGGGACGCTAGTTAACGAACTGTGTGTCCCCTCAAGACCAAGGACGTTAGCGTAAATCCGGTTAATTGAAGTCTATTAAGTGCATTAGAATTCCGCCAAGATAAACACCGCGCGAAATTATCCGGCGAATCTGAATCCCGTTACGCATTTGCATTCCCGAAGCTTCGGATCCGCTCTCGACGGACGAGAGAGAGAGAGAGATGAAACGGGAGAAGATGAGATACAGAGAGGAAGAGACAGACAGACGAATAGATACGATAGATAGATAGATAGAGAGAGAGAGAGAAAGAGAGGGACAAAGAGAGGATACTTCGTTATCGCGCGGGAACCACACGCGTCCCGAAACACTGCTCGATATTGAGGAAAGACCGGGAGCGCTCAAAGCGACAAAGTCGGTTCCTCAAAAGCGACACGATAACGGCGGGACACTCGGTATATGCACATGTTTCACAAGGCCCGGCTCAAAGAAGAGCGTGGAATTCGAGCGTGCGATCGGCTTCCTCCCGAGCGCTGTGTTACCCCGCGGGGCGTTTTGCGCACTGCGTCGTAATTGAGAACTCGGAGGACTTACCTTTTCTACGACTCACTCCGCGAGCGACGTCTCCCGTCACATTCCACGAATCCGTGACACCCGTTGCGTCCGCGGGGAAGAGGATCCTCGGCGTCTCGGGTTCCGTCGTTGTCGGGTGCCGCGTGCGCGCCGGTATCATCCACGCCTTTGTCCAGCGGACGACGATGGTCTCGTAGTGACCTCTCCTCCCACGTGGGCTCTCCTCTCCTTCACCGGCTTGCTCCGGAAGGACACTCGCCGCAGGCGAGCGCGCCTCAGCCGGCGTCGCGGCGCTTTCTCTCTCTCTCTCTCTCTTTCGAGGTAGCGCCGTGCCACGCGCTCCTTCGGAATCTCAGGTACGCGGAGGAGGCGCCGGGGCCGCGTGCCCGCCCTTCCGAGTCCTTCCAGTAATGTGCGATCCCGCAGGTAATGCCCCGCAGGTAATAATCCGCGGCTACGCCGATCTGCGCTGCTGGAACACGCAGGTGCGTGCGCGAGACGGACAAGGAGAGAGATAGACAGAGAGAGAGAGAGCGCGTACTGCGATTCTCCTTCGAACAATGAGCTCTGAGATGCCGCACTGTGTATGAATATACCTGTATGTATGTGTGTCTTTTGCAAGTAGCGTAGTAGGAAATAGTCTCACGTGAAGTCGTCCTCTTCTCCACGGGTGGAAGAGAGAGAGAGCGAGAGGGACTCTCTTCTTCGGGATCCCCGATGCCGAAGTCAAGACACGACCGGTCCCTCAAGATCCTCGAGGTTAGGTTAGGTTAGCCGGGAGGAGCGCGTTGCCAGGATGCACCGCGGCGAGGCATGAAAACCGCACCGGCACAACTAGCCGCCCGCGCCGGTCGGAATTCCTTTCAGGACGACGGACATTTCCCACGACGGTCACACTGCAGAGGGTCACCTCGGCTGCGGCGGCTCTTCGTTCTCTCTCTCTCTCTCCTTTTTCTCTTTCTTCGCTCTCGTGCGCTCTCAGTGTCCTTTCTACGGGGACATCCTCCTGGTGCGCGCCGAAGATTACTCGTGGTCAACTTCGCTCGGAATGCACACGTTCACGTCTCGGCTAATAAAAGACCTCTCTCTCTCTCTCGTCCTCTCTTTTTAAATCTTCCTTATCACGCTCTTTGTGTATGTCCTTATCTCCGAAGGAGATTTCGGGAGGGGAGCGGTGTGCGATTCGATACTCTCCGAGGAGGAGGATAATACGCCTTGGGTCTTCCGAGGAGGAGATTCAGTCGCCCACCTTCCTCTTCCTCGTGCTCCGCTACACTACGACGATCCTTTCCCCGGAGGACCGGTTAACGGAGCCTCTCGGAGGCGCGGTGAGGCACGTTGGGAAGTGTCACGGCACGTTGTTGCCGGTGGACGGCGGTGAGGGCCAGGAACGCCTGCTGCTGCTGGTCCTGTTGGTTGCGAGGAACGCGGTCAGCACACCTTTCTCGCGAGTACACCTCTTTCTCTCTCTCTCTCTCTCCCTCTCTCTCCTTTCTCTCCGGAAGTCACGACCTCTGCGCGAACGAGTGAGCGAGTGAGCGAACGAGCGAGCAAGAAAGAAAAAGAAAGAGAGACACACAGACAGACAGAGAGGGGATATCTCGAGGAGAGGACGACGTGCTCCGAAACTACGTAGTGAACGTACACTCGACGCTCCGCGACGACGGCGACGAGGACGGGCGTCGTTCACGCCCCCGTTCGTTCGTTCGTCGTACGTCCGCACGTACGTTTCACGTATGTATATACGCTCGTACGTACGTACGTACGCACTCGTCCGCGTTCCCCTTTCTTCCCGACGTCGGCGGCACCACGGCGACGCGTCACGGCCACGCCGTGTTACGCACTCAGGAGAAGGGAGGAGGCCGTCGGCGACCTTCCCCGACGTCGCGCGCGCACCACGGATACAATCACCGGGAGACCCGCGCCAGGACGACGCGGTGGAGACGTAGCTCCGTCGAGAGGCGCAACGCTCTAGAAGCTGCGCTTCTTGTCGCGCGAGTGAACGAGAGAGAGAGAGAGAGAGAGATAGAGAGATAGATAGAAAGAGATAGAGCGAGGTTGGGGGAGGGGGGACACGAGAATGAGCGCGAGAGAGAGAAAGACAGACGGATGGAGAGAGAGAGAGAGAACGAGCGAGAGAGCGCTAGAGCCGTCTCTCTCGCAGCCCTCGAAAGGGACAAACGCGACTCACGATTCTCGCGGCAGGACACACGTGCTGCGCGAGCGAGCGAGCGATCGACCGAGCGTCGCGCGTACGCGGCATGGGCACACACGAGCACACGTTGCCTCTTTTTTTCTCTCTCACGGACACATATCTCCCGAGAACGGTGGCGGTCTCGTCTCTCGCCTCCTCGCCAACGCCTACACGATACACATTGCACGCAGCAGCAACGACGCCCCTACACGCCGAGCCCAGTGGTGATCAGCGCGCGGCGCCGCCGGCGCGCTGAGAACCCCCCGTTTCCGGCGACGCCGTCGTTACCGCCATCCGGTGCGGTGAGTTTCCACGTGAACGCGATAAGGACGTACCGGAGGGTCTCTTTCTCTCTTCGGCGGAATAATGCGATCCCGATCGGATGTTCTTCCGTGATCGCGATAGCTCTTCACCTCGCGACGCTTCCGGAATCGAAGGAGACTCTAGGGACTTTCGCACGCTAGCTGGGGAAGTCAGTTGCTAGGGACTTCGTGAGAACCTCGTTCAACCGAGTTGGGGACATCTAGGTGTCTTTTTTAGGTCTGCCTTTTGATCGCGTAACTTTTCCCCTAGGGCGGAAGCGTGAAATGTTTTCAAATCGGAAACTTTTCACGAAATTATGATCAACTCCCGAAGTATCTTTTTTAACGTAGATCCTTGAAAAGTCTAAATTTCCTAATTTGAGAACATCTCTTTTTTCCCACCTTGGAAATATGATCGAAAAATTCATTAATTACAAACGCGTTTTCCTTGACACGCTAAAGTTCTTACGGTACTTTTTGGAGTTATCTTTTAAAATTCTATAGAGATTCTTGTTCTTAACAGCAATTCTTTAAAAATATATCAAATTTTTGCACATAGTCTAGTATATAATATATATATCTAGTATATAATATATATATATTCTCAAATACACAATGCGTTAACATAAGGACCAAGGTTTGAATTCCGTGCATTTGTACACTGCCGAGATTGTGGAGAAAATATTCAAAAGTTGAAGGTACTCGTCACACCCTTCCGTCAGTCTATAATCACACTCCTAAGAAAAAAGTAAGTTTAGTTTCATATTCCATTCATTATTCGGCATATGCGAAAGAGTATCTCACCCCGAGCACGTGACCGATCATAGCTCTCTGTTTATCACTCAGATCATCGCAGAGAAACATCTTGCCATTCAGCTGATCCAAGACCTGTGAAAGACCAGCAGATCGCCGAAATTCAACCAATAAATCGATTCTCACCAAAAGTGAGTAAAATTCAATATCGAGTTTAATATAAGGATATTTCAGACACTACCTGCCCTCCGGGGTATCCTTCCAGTAGCAAGTCTTTCACCAACTTCTCGATATCATTGTAAGTTCCTTGTTTACAAGTCTCCCACAGTGTGTCAATTTTGTCATCTGGTATCACCTGAAGCAATGACAATGTTATCCTTGAAAATAACGTTAGAGGTCTGATATCTTCAATGAATGAGCATACTTACCCACATCAGATCGAGAGCATCTCTCACGGTGATGTCGTAGTCCTTGCCCTTCAGTCGCGTGATCGATTGCAGGCACATGACGGCTTGCCTCAGATCGCCTTTGGACGTCTCGACGATCTTCTCGAGAACACTTTTGTCGACCTTCAGGTTCTCCTCATTGCAGATGTATTCCAACCGGTCGATGCTCTTCACGTCGCTCAGCGGCTTGAAGCGAAACTTGGTGCAACGAGACGCTATTGGCTTGATGATACGTGACAGGTAGTTGCACACCAGGCAGAAACGTGTGCTTTGCGCTTCTTTCTCCATGATGCGACGGAGCGCGGTTTGCGCGGCGCCAGTCATGCTGTCCGCCTCGTCCAGTATGATGATCTTGAATGGCGGGCATTTCTTGCCGCTGCAAGAGATTTGGTTAATTTCTAGAAAGTTTCCGTTCCGATTATTTATTTACGGTTGTGTAACCCGTTCTAAGTCAAATACGTTAATGAGGTGCCTCAGACTGTGCCATTTTGATCATAAGCCGCAGTACAGTGTGCAATCTACCCCGAATAGCTGACCCTCGAATATATGCTCTGTAGGCTAATCTTACAAACCAGCACGTGTTGATATTAACGCGAATATAATCCTTTTTGAAGATGCATTTACTCGTCAGATTTCAAGTTATGTATTAAAACTGTTAGTTTTATCATTATCGTTGCCGCGGGGAAAATATAAGAGATTTGATTTTCTACCGAGCTAATAGCCAAGGGTCAGCATTCAGAATGTCGGTTCTCAGAGCTTGTGATCGGAAGTTCGTTTGACTTCCCATCTTCCTTAAACTCCGAAGAAACATTTTCGTGTTTGGTTGCTAATAAAAGGCGCTAAATTGCTTTATTAGACCTCCTGGAAAACAACCTCTTCAATGCACCAATATCCTACGGCCATCAGACCTTTCACTAGTTCATCATTGGCATTAATCAAGTCTCACTATCATAAATAACACATTGTCGCAATTAATATAATTATAACAGACAATAAATACATATGATAAGTCTTCAATAAGAAACAAGTAAATCGAGAAGATAATGTTAGTTGTTGGTAAAACAAGATGCAATATTGTTCTGTAGAAGTTTGCGTAGGGCCAGTTTTGTAATCATCGATTAACCTGAACGACTGCGTAAGTACTAACCGTGATTGGTTATTTCTGATCAATTCTGCTTAACGATAAATGCGATTGGTCAGCTCCAATTGGGAATAATCAGCGGATTAAGTTAACCGGAGATTTTGAGATCGGTCAGTAGACTCACTCTGGCCTGGTAGGATTAGCTTTGCGCAACGCGAAGGATTTGATCTTGTCCCTCACAACCTGGATGCCTCTGTCATCAGAGGCATTTAACTCCAAAATCCTGTCTCTGTACATGTTGCCGAACATCTGCCTCGCAGCTGCGTGGATTATGCTGGTCTTGCCAGTACCTGGTGGTCCGTAGAACAGCATGTTGGGGAAGTCTGTGTGCTCCATAGCTTGCCTTATCACATTTACCACATCAGTTTGCTCCACAATGTCGTCGACGGTCCTCGGCCGGCTGAAATAAGAGAAACGCGTGAGACGACTGAATTTAGCTTTGTCCCGACTCCATTTCCTCTTCTAAATACAACGGAAACGATAGCAACGTCGATGTTTTCATATTTTTTGTGCGCAAATAATCGAAGGTTAATTTCACGGTGAAGACGATAAATATTCTTACTATTTCTCCACCCATGGTGTCAGATCCTTTTTCTCGTCCTTGGCGCGAGAGGTTGACGGTTTCTTTACATCCGCCGGCGCGCCCAATTTCCCAGTCTTCAAGAAAGCGTTCATCTTCCCAAGCGGTCTGAGCGGTTGTGGGTTTCGCACGCACTTTCCCGCCTATTCGCCGCCATCGTGGCTCTACGTGATCGTCAAATATGAAGCATCACTATAGATGTGTTCCACTTAAACGTTCGCGAGCGTAGAGACATGTCCAGATGTCCAATCGCATTGGCCGATTCGGCAAATGGACTAATATGATTGGACTTTGTAGACTTGGCCTGTACTTGCGATCTTTAAGTGGAATGTACAATGTTCATGAAACATGCACAGCCTTGCAAATTGTGTCCACAAATATCTTCAATGGATAACACGCGACGTCACCGACGAGAGATGAAAATAATAAATCTAATTGCTTTCAGCAAAAGAGACACAAGTCTAGTTACATCGTCATTTGTCCTTATTTTGCATTTAGTGAAGAAAAGGATAATCGATACAACTAGACTTGTGTCAATTTGTGTCTCTTGCTGGAGAGCAATATATGTTCAATATATGTTCAATATATATTCATACATCTTTATATATTCGCAAAAAAACTAACAACGAAATCTGAGAATTAATTGAGAACAACACTTATCTTGTTGTGGACGTTGAGAGATATTTTTCTTATATTCAACGCTCTTACCGGGTCGGTGACGTTGCGTGTTATCTACTGGATAGATGCGTGAAATCGGCATAGTAGTTTACCATGCGAGGTATATGAATATAGAGGTACTTCGGATCAAGTAAAACCCGATCGCAGCTCCTCTCATTACTCTTCCTTCCGACGCTATTCTTGGTTGTCAGAGCCTCGCAGTGTACCTTCATCGGCTATAATCGTTGATTTGAGCGAAAACAAATAATGACTTCGCTTCTCGTGCCGGAAATTCCGCCAGCAGGCTTTTCCTTCGATCTCTGTCAAAGGTGAAGATTTATATCGTACTTCACAGATATATTATTACATTTATTTCACAATTGTTATTGGAAAGTAACCTACAATCTTGTCGATATTGCTGTGTCACAGCCGTAAGAATTATTTTTCGCGGATGGATTATTATACTGTCATGTTACGTGATCTATACATGATATTTGTGAAATAAGAGAAGTATCGATGATATAATATTGATAAATTTTAAATATTATTTTAAGAATCACTACTCCGCCTGTCATTAGTATTGTGGCAATAAGCGTCTTTTACTAATTGTTGAAAGTCTTAATTACTAATTGACTATTTACAGAAAAAATTCTATTCTGTTCAGATTTGAAACACTAATTTCCCATATATCTTATTTCATACAGGAACAATGCATTGGTCAAGAAAGGTTTTGCTGCTCCAAAAGCAGTAAAGACAGGCACTACCATCGCTGGTGTAGTATACAAGGATGGTGTCATTCTCGGTGGTGATACAAGAGCCACTGAGGACACCATTGTGGCTGACAAATACAGCTTGAAGATCCATTATCTTGCTCCCAATATGTAGTGAGTGTCGTATCTATCTACTTTACTTAATAAATTAACACATATTGCACTGACTCAAACTATACTTTCAGCTGCTGTGGAGCAGGTACCGCAGCTGATACCGAAATGACTACCGAGATGATAGCCAGCCAATTGGAGTTGCACCGTCTGAACACCGGTCGCATTGTTCCCGTCTGTACTGCCAACACGATGATAAAGCAGATGCTGTTCCGTTATCAGGGCCACATCGGTGCTGCGCTCGTATTGGGCGGCTATGACATCGATGGACCTCACTTATACTGTATTTACCCGCATGGTTCTACTGAGAAACAAAAGTACACCACCATGGGATCTGGTTCGTTGGCTGCGATGGCAGTCTTTGAGAGCAGATGGAAGCCGGACCTTTCGGTAAGAAGTGCATTCTCCTAATTTTAATCTTACAGTCAATCACATAATTTCGATCTGACTCAATTAGTATTATTTTAAGATTAAGAGTCAGGAAAATTGAAGATAGATGTACGAATAAAGATGAATAAGAGATAAGCAAAAATCATCGAGGCCCATACGAGTGTGGATTTATAAGATTTATTTTAGATATAATTTTTTGCTTTTTAACACACTTAATTTGCAAGAAATTTTATCCTACCTTATGTATATAAATCTGATAGATTTATTAGTAATTCATGTATTTGTATAACTTATATCCTTAGTACTCATTTAACACTCCTATTCGTATACTTTTCTTCTATCGTGTATAAATTAGATGTTAAGGTACTCTTAAGAAAAATGCCACTTTGATCTTGAATTGACAATGGTTGCCATCGATGTCAGGAGGAGGAGGCGAAGCAATTGGTGGCGGACGCGATTCGCGCCGGTGTGTTCAACGACCTGGCGTCCGGCTCGAACGTGGATCTCTGTATAATCCGCAAGAGCGGTGTGGAATACTTGCGGCCGTACGACACCGCCAGCGTGAAGGGCGAACGACAGATCAGCTATCGTTACAAGCCCGGCACCACCGCGGTGCTCACTAAGACGGTGAAGCCGATCATCGTGGAGGAGGAGACGGTGCGCGTCATCAGAGAGGAGCCTATGGACACCTCCTCATGAAGCTCCGTGTTAACTTAATTCTCGGTGTTTTTAGCTCTAAGCTTAAGTCGTAAGGGAATTTTCTAGGCGAGCGAAGTCTCCGTTGTAAAATCCAATCAGATGTTTCTAATAAAGATCGTCGAGATCACGAGGAAGGGCAAGATGGGCGATTTTTAAATTCTAATTTTCCGCAAGAAAGAAAGAGACCAACTACGATAACGAGCTAATTAAAGTCGAGGAATACCAGTGGCAGATATTGCAAGCCACACCCGAAGAGGAGAACATATCGACAATTTTCCAGAAGCGACAGAAAGTTTGTAATATTCTCGGCGAAGTGCGTGAATTTAAATCATTAGAAGAGCCCAGCGGCTTGCTTGAGCCGTTGCCTCTTCCAGGCCGGCAGCTTCTCGAATTCTGTGGGCTCCATTTTGAAGATCGCGATGAAGTTGTCGAAGGTAAGGTGCATCTCCTTGCGCCGCACGTCGACACCAGCCGGCAGGTTCTCCGGTTCGCTCTTCAGCACCGCCAGCGGGTACTTGACGTAGTTGTCGAAATCCGTGGTTGCTTTAGCGACAGTTTGCGTCCTCGTCGGCTGTTCCTTGTCGTCCAGCAGGGCGCAGAAGGTTTCGAAAGATTTGTAATCTCTCAGTAGATTGTGATTCCAGTTGTCGAAGAGCCCGATGAACGTGGCCGGCTCCGTACCTGAAGAACGGTGAAGTCCCAGGTGACGCGAAACGCGTCAATTCGAACAAAAAATATCCAAAGAAGGGATATGTAAGAAGATATCTAAAGAAGATAGGCGCGTTTAAAGAACATCCGATCAATCGGAAGTTCTTTCAAAAATCTTCACGGCGACTCTAAGTCATCCAGGAGAGACGTCTTCGGTATAAAGAATGTTTCTCGACGCTCGGGACTCACCTTGCTTGATTATAGAAATCGTCGTGTTGCGATTTCGACCCGCGGGATGTGTGTAGAGATACACCGTGGCGTCCTCGACGCACTCCTGCAGCGTCCGCGGGCTGGAAAACTTGCCAACCCACACCCAGATCACGCTGCCGGCGTCCAGCAGCCAGACGGCTTCCGGTATCAGGGAGTTCTGTCGGAATCCGAGCACCTCCTCGCCCACGAAGAGGCCGTTCTCGGTTCGGCATTGAAACAGATGCTTGTCCAGCTCCTCGCCAACCTCCTCGGTCTCCGTGCTGTAAGTGCCCCTTCCTGAAGACGAGAAAATATAGTCACGGTTGAGTCCAAAGTTGCTTGGTAACTTTCGACTGTCTATTTGCTTTTTCCACAACCTACGTAATAAAGTGTTTTAATGTATAATTATAATAATGATAGGGATATAATATCATAATAGAGTAGAATAATAATATAATAATAATAATATATAATATTTTTATGAAATGAATAGTTGCGATAAGAGGTAGTTTCAGGTTGTCTGTGCGTTAATTTGTGACTTTTGTTTCCGAATTACCTCCGAGTTCGACCCAGAAGTCGTCGCTCTCCTTGCCCTCGGCGACAAGAGGCGCGTTCCTGGGCGCGAGGCGTCGCGACGCCTGCCTGGCGTCGCCAGTGCTCTTGCCACCGCACCAGACAATCGGCGCGCTGGAGAAGAGGATAAATACCGCACTGGAGTCCAAGCTGCTGGCTCGCAGCGGGCGTTCCACCGCCTTCGAGGTGTACGGCGTCGATCCGAACACTCGGACCAGGTACTTCTTCGGCGCTGCGAGTGGAGAAGAATTTGATTATAAAAGTGGGTAAGGACAAGCTCTTCGAGTTTTACGTTCCTTCAAGAACTTTTATGCATTTCACATGCGTATAAGTTTAAGTCGGGATTTGTAATCTTTAAATGGTACGTTGAAGTCCCTTCTTCAACAACGTTTCGTCGATTCCAGTAAAATCTCATCAATTTTATTTCAGCTTCCTGCTTTTTCATTCTTATTCATTCTTATTCCTACTCGTTTCTCATCTCATCCAAGTTTTACTTCGGTTTCCGCTTATTCTTTGCTCTCCTTAATCCTTATTTCTGTTCATTTATCATAAGAGGAATGGGTTGACTCACGTGAGTCGCGATGACGTCCAGCGAGTATCTTCAGCTTTCCATCGTAGATCTGCAGGAGGTGAGGCGGCTCCCTGCCTTGGGAGGCCTTCACCAGCTGCGCGTTCGTCTCTTCGGACAAGCGGCAGGCCGCCGTCATGGCGGCGTCTCGATCCACCTTGACGGAGTGGACGCCTTCCCAGCAGTAAATCTGAAGATGCGACAAAGTCGGTGAACACCTCGGCACGTAAAGATTGAACTAGCGAAAACCCGACTAGTCAACTGATAAACTGAAAGCATCAACAGAGCGACACGTACGATGCTGCGGCACCTGCGTCCTTGCCCGTACTTGTACAGCATCACGTAGCAGGCCTCCGCGTAGTAGATGCCCCTGTCGTCCACGTCGACCATGCCTTCCTTCTGCTCCACCCGCCACAGACTCCTCTCCCCGGAGCCGTCGTCCACCAATTGGCATTCCGCCGCCATCCTGGGCCGCTCGTTCATGTAGTCAGGCTCGAAACTGGCCGGCAAGGTCAACGGCCTCGTCTTGGAAGACTCCCAGCCCCTCAGCAACGCCTTCATCTCCGCCGGCTCATGAGCCTCGGTCGCTCTGGCCACCGGCATGCCGTCGCTGTAATTCTTCTTCTTGACGAAGCCACGAGCGTTTCTCACCGCCTCCAGACTCTCGCGAGCGTTCACATCGCGACCCACCCACGCCCAGACTCCGGCCTCGCCGCGGTCGACCAGATAGACGGAACCGGAAGTCAGGTCGCTGCGCAGCACAGGCCCGGACTTGAGCTCGGCGACCTTGTATTTGCCTGATTGCTCGCTGCATCGGTAGAGCTTGATGGGGCTGGGCGGGTTCACGCGATGCTGACGATCGGGCGCCACCACCCTCGCTGACGGCTCCAGCACGCTGCTGAAGAGCTCCCTGTCGTTGCCGGGCAGCGTCTGCTCGTAGCCGTCTTCGACCACCACCACGCGTTGGCCGTTGTTGTTCTCCTTCCGGGACTCCAGCAGGCTGGCCGCGTGCCGCTTGTGCAGCGGTTCCGACAGAGAACCAAGCCACAGGAAGACGACTCCCCTGGAAATGACGGTAATTCTCAGAGGAAATTCCGTGTCTCTCGGGAGAGAACGGTTCTCTAAAACGATTTTCGGTCGCACAGCGGAAAATCCAAGTCGGATTTCCTGTGTTTTACTAACAACGTGATGGATCTGTCAAATGTTCGTCGCGTTTTAACGTTTGAAACGATAGAAAAATATATAGTCATGATTTTGAAATCGAAATGTATCCGAAGAATGACATTTAATAAATAAATAGATAATTATATATAAAATTTCTTTAATTGAAACAAAATTGTCCTTTGAATGAAATAGCAAACGAACGTTTGATTCGACAATAATAAATAAATAATATTTGAGATACCGAAACACGGAAAATATACGCTGAAGGATCACCGCTTTTTCATCGGAAGGCCGTAATCTGGAAATCTTCCTGGAAGCCTCTATTAAGCCTCATTTAACATTAGAAGAATCAGATCCGTCGTTGCTCAATCCTGGCAACACGCAAGCCTTTTTTGCACGCGGAAACTTTCACCGGCGGATTTCCACATCGTCCGGTGGAAAGCGAAAAGGGAACGATCGTCGCACGAAGCGCACGCGCGCGAGATCGTCACCGCGATACATACGCAACCACGGGGGAACTTCCTGTCACGTACTTTGCCCGAACGTCAACCAGGATAACGTCTCTGGAGCTGAAGTGCTCCCAGTGCACCCTCTCCAGCTCGGTCAAGATCGGCACGACTACACCGGAGACCCGATGGAGAGTGCAGACGGGCGTCTCGAAGTGCAGGTTCTCGACGATCAGGCGTTGACGGAAGTAGGCGAGGAATCTGGGACTCTCGCGACCCTGCGCTTCCCTCATCAGAATCGTCGCCGACACCTGTGAGTCGAGCTCGGCGGCGCGGAGCGCCGCGGCGCCGGACGCCGTCGAGTCGCAGCTCGAGCCGATCCAGAAGTGGATAGCGCGTACCACAGCGCTACCCTTCAAATCCTTGATCTGTCGGTCCACGAAACGATCAATGAAAATTTAGGATGACTTTTGCCAAATTCAAATTAAACCAAATGTAAACTGAATTAAATTTACAATCTTCTGAACAGATAATATCGTACGCCTGGATATTCTAAAGCTTTTTATCCTACGCTTTTATCCTAATATTTTGGTGTTATAAAACGTTGTAAAATGGTGACATTTTCTGACATTTCATATAGAGTTCGATGGAACGAACTACGGTAAATTTAATTGTACAAATCGATTTTGTATTTTATCTAATAGAGATACATCGATCTGTTTCATGATTTCACGAATGTTCTCAAATACGGTTTTATTTTCGTATCTTGTCTGATTAGTATGTATATCTCTAGTCCCGTTAATAATTATAAATAAATAAATAAAATAAATGAGCTGATTGATAAATAATAATAAGAATTGCCAACGTCAATTCCCAGTTCTGCAATTTATCGTTCAACGATAGTTAAAAATTTATTATTTTCTATCTGTATTTTTATTTGCAAAATTGATAGAGCAGGTGGTACTTGAATGATAGCAATTTTAAATCGTCGATTGGATTAATCAGAGCTTGGCGAAAGTCATTCTTAGTCAAATAAATGGGAAGTCGAATTCCAACTATCGAGAGTTCTCAAAAAGAAAAAAATCATTTCTACAAACTTAAATTTATTTTCTAAGCGCATCTCATTTCTTCGTTCGATTTCAATCATTAAAAAATAAATTATTCGAATTATTAAAAAATTATTCAATTTATCGTACATTAATTTAATTAAATCTGCAAATGAAATTGTTAAAAATGCCTTTAGTTCTCTTGCAATTTAGTACTTAGGAATTTTTCATTTTAAACAAAAGACTCCTCTTCACACGTAGATTTCCGTCGGGAAATAATTTTTTGCTATGATGACGGAATGGGAAAAATGAAGAGGTAAAGTTAGCGGAATGAAATTCACGGAGGTTCGCTGGAATAGCTCGAGAATTGTGGATTTTACACGCGATGCGAGATTGGAGGCGAGCTTTCGTTTGGTTTCTCTCACGACGACGCAACAATAGAAGTAAAAGTACCGGCATTCCCGGGCAAGGAAGAGCACCGTCCTTCGCTGACACGGCGTAGACGATGTACGCCGATTCGGTGAAAAAGAAGCCCATGTTGCTGCCGGGTACGGCTGTTGCTCGTAGACCCTGAAGATACAAGCGCGAATAGGAAAATAGAGAATCATAAGTGTAATATAAATCTAAGTAAAATAATTAATCAATATTATATTTTTATCTGATAATTCTAAGTATATGTGAAGTGTATTTTTTAATCAATAAATATTAATAATTATGAAAAATGTATGAGTCAATGTTTTCTAATAACTATAATTATAATATTATAAATATAATTAATATAATTAACATAGGAAAATGTTTAATGTAATTAACATGATTTACATAATAATTAATATAAAATGATTATTTAGCGACGACCATGATATACGTATATATATTATTATAATATATATATATCATAACATATATATATATTATCATAACATATATATATATATATATATATATATATATATATATTATCATAACGAGTAACGACCATGATCTAATCTAATTTTCTATTACATTTTCCTTCATCTATCGAAAATTTTAATTTAGTTAATTATCGAGAGGTTTAATTTAATTTTAATTTGAGGGGAAATTTCTAATGTTAGAAATATACTGAAATTATTTGTTGTCCTTTATTAACGGGAAACGTTGCGGTTTCATGTTTATCCGGAATAACTATCCCGGTAATGAATAACGAGCTCACCTCGATCTTCCAGACGCGGAAGGTGCTGCTGTTCTTCGGGATGTTCCTGAAGACCTCGCCGCCGGAGTCATCGCTGCGACAGCTTCTGTCGTCCTGCGGAATGGTATTGAAACCTTCGGGATACAACACGCCCGTCATGTTCCGTCGCGCTTCACCAGCCGGAAAAACCAATCTCTCGAAACTTTCCCGCCCCGAAATCTCGCCAATAGCGCTTCTATCTCGCGCGTCACATCGAAAGTGACATCACACGAGCGGCACCAAATAGCAACGAATTATCATCAAAGCGCTCGAAATCGGTGTGTCCGGACAACTCAGCGTGAAGGACGAAGTTGAGCGTTTCGCTGAAATTGTCGCGGAACCGTCGAAACGCGAATTTCAGAGTCGACCGATGAACATGGACAACGTACGTGGGATAATTAGCGAGAAATTTCAACGCGATAACATTGTGCAGCGGAGCGACGGAGAATGCGCAAGAGAGGATTACTCTCGACTACGAGCGTTTCGCAACGGAGAAACCGGCGCTCGCGCGCTTCCCGAGCGGACTGAAAACTGGGATACCAGAGCTCGCGAGGACCTCCGCCGCGTCGCAGGTGCACTCGAGTGCTCGCGTGCCCGATGCGCTAATGCATGCACACTGTACATGCAGCCTTGAACGATGCCCCGTGTTTCCTTTAATCCCGACTCGCCTTCATTTCTCGCATCTCTGATCCGCTTGATTCTATTTAATCAACGCACATTTAATTAAACCGCTCACATGTGATCCACGGCGCTCAATTTAACTGTTAACATCCATTTCGTCGTGATTTCTACTCATTTTATATAACTCGATTATAGTTACAATCTTTAATTTAATCACGGAATAATGTATACACACACACACACATTAAAAAAATAATATTATTCTCGCTAAAAGACAAAGGAGTAAATTTGGGAGACGATATTCCCGGCACGACGGAAGTTCCTTTCGCGCGATTGTCGCGGCTCGTCGCGCGATTTCGAACAGTCGATTTCGCGCTACGCTCTTCGGATTTGAGTTGATTGACCTGTAACTACATCGGGTCCCGGTAAGATGGGGCCCATTATGCGACCACCGTCGCATTGTACTGGTTTTGTTCCCCGGCGTGTGAGTGCGTGCGTGCGTTCGCGCTCGTTTCATTCATATCCACGCCTCGCATTCGGCGGCAACTCGCGAACGAGCGAGCGAGCGAGGCTCTCGTGTGTGTATCACCGCACACGTACACGACGCTCACGCACACGCGTGGCTTAAGCATCATCCGCGACGATCATCATCGCGACAGGCAGGAAGTCGCAACTGCCGCCCGCACGCCCACTTCTGCGGCGGTTGCGCCAAAAGGTGAAAATTCGCGGTCGCCCGACCGCGGACGGCGTCTCCTCGTTTTTTCGCGGCGGTGAAGAAAAAAAGCGCCGATTTGTTAGCTCCGCTCGCGATGATTCCCTCGTTCGCCTTGAAACACGAAGAGAGAGCGACGGGCGTGCGAGTAAAAAATTCACTGCAGGCCGAGGCGCAATGTTAAATCGAGAAACCGAGAGGCACGGGTGTGTTAAATATATATTCCGAGATGTATCTGAGAACGAATTCATTAATTCCCCGCTGTTCCCATACGAAGGAATTAAAATTTATGCTAACGGTAAAAACAATATCGATAGTTTCATATCTCGTATCTCTCACCGCCGAGGAAGATTTCTTTGGATTTAGTACACGTGATTGTTTGACTTGGGCTCGTTTAATATAAACAATACAATTTAATATCGAACGTTCTTTTGTGTTTGAATAAAAGTGCCTTTCTCTAGAATAAACTATGTTGTTTGATAGAATCAACAGTATTATTTAGAGGTAATATTATTTCGTTTTCAATAAAAGAAAATTATTTCATTATATATTAAATATTGTTCCACTGAAACAAAGACATTCCCGTTTTTTAATATTTCCCTAACATAATGTTACCTCTTTCAAATAACTGACTGCTTGTGACAATCATTGTAACGTTTGGATGAATGTACAGAAGAAATATTACTCGACGTGAAGATATTTATTGTTTAAGAAGTCAACAATTCTGTTTATTGAATCAAAGATTCGTTTGTTGTTGTTGCTCTATTCCAAAAGAGAAATTTGTTTCAACTAAAGAAACCCGACTAAATCCGAAGAAATCTTTCTCCCCGTGCAGACATCTCCAATTTGTTCACTAGTGTGCGATTTAGCCGAGAAGTATGCTAATTATTCTTACGGTTATTTCCGAGACCTCCTTAAATTTATCCCCCCTTCCCCAACATAAATTTCCTTCATCCTCTTTCTTCCCACGTTAATATTTATCCTACGCCTCTCTCGAATTCGTATTTCGTTCTGTGTTGATTCTCCCGAACGATCGCACGATCACGGAAGTTCTCGATTAATTAAAACCACTCGAAAGAGAAATCGTAGAAAGCAACGAGATAAATCAATTCAAGCTAAGCGCCTGTCCAGCCCGAAAATCCCACGGGGCTGGGAGAAGAGCGCAATCCCTACCTTCGGAGAACTCCCTCAAAAATCGCACTCTCTGAAAATCGCCCGGAGGACCAACACGAGGCGGGGTACGTCACTTCCTTGCGAGAACCTCCCTGGAAACTCGGCGCCCACGCGTTACCCCCTGGGCGTACCAGTCACCCCTTCCGATCGAGGAAGGAGGTCGAAAGGCCGGACGGATTATCACTCACCCGCCTGAGGAGGTCCATTGTTCTCGCTATCTATCTTTCTCGCCGCTCGGGGCCCATTCGGCCGTCTCTGGGCAGCGGGGGACACGCGCGAAGGAGCAGGATGTTACTATACCTTACTTGGCGAGTCGTGCTCGCGTAAGCGTACGCGACGGCTAACTGTATAAGCGAACAACTGATAGCCGGCCGCGCCGATGCCCGGCATGAAAAAGAAACCGTAGCGGTGCGCCGGCTGCCTCTCCCGTAGGTACCGCCGTCCGGAAGTGGGCCCCGGAACTCCTGCCGGCCAGCCGTGACCGGCGGGTAGCCGCGGCCTGGTGGTGGCGGTGGCCTCGTGCTGGAATAACACACGGGACCCACATGCGGGAGCCCGCGTTCTCTGTCTATTTCTCTCTCTCTCTCTCTCTCTCTTTCCCCGCCGACCTCTCTCGGTCTCCGTCTCTCCATCGTCGGAGGTCTTCCGCGATCTCACCTGAACGAGCGAGCGAGCGAACAGGTGCGCGCTCACCTTTCCAACGTTACCTCCTCTTCGCCACGGACAGACGGAGCACGAGCAAACTTTATTACACATGTCCTAGAACGCGTAATGGGATCCTTCCCCCTCTGCCGGGGCCGCTCGTTCGCGCTTCCGTCGCGTTTTCGGAGGGAATTAAGGACGTCGAGCGAATCGGAGGCGGCGGACGGGGGGACGGGCTTCGAGGATCGAAAAAGGGAGCGGGATATTGGGGGTCTTCTTCTTCTTCTTTGTGAGAGAGCATGCTTCTCTGGCGATAGATAAGGTAGATTGTACGGTAGTTTATCACACGTTCTAGAATACGTAATGAGCGTCTCGCATGCTTCGTTTCACGCTGAACACGAGGCATCCCGCGCGAATGCAGGAATTAAAGACGGCGGCGGATTGAATAAAACAAAGAATGCGAAAGAAATGGTCGGAAAATTGCGAGAAAATTTCCCTTTCTTTCTGTATACATGTGGTTGAATGTAATTAAATATAATTATATGTATACGTGTATGTACGATGACATCATATCCTGGAAAAAGATCATATAGGAATTTTGTCCTATATGGTCATGTAATTATGAATAATTATATATTCACAACAAAAAGAATACTGTGATACAAATACAATTGAAATAAATGCTTAAGTTTCTGATATCGCGTGATGTTGACACTCGATTGAATAGCATAACATCATCTTATTTTGTACATGGACGTGAATATGTGACCATATAGGGACCAAAATTCATATATAATTTATATATAAAAGTCATAAATAGTTTTATATAATTATATGCAATTATTTTTTCTCGGGATGTGTTTATATGCATATGACTCATACATATAATTTTATTTGTGCATTATATACATGATCATATATGATTACATACAATCATACATAGTTTACATCATATATGATTATGCATAGTCGCCTGTGCGTATGTGAACGCGTTCTTACTTCATTATATACAGTCGTGTACCACGACTAAAATATATGTTATTATACAGATAACGCTATTTTAAACTATATATAATCATACACGAGCATATAAACATTCATATATTTGCTGCGACATGAGTCCATACATACACGGGTCCTTCGATCCGATCCTCGAAACAAAGTGCGCTCGCTGCCATTTTTCTCTTTGACAGGAGACGACAGAGAGGGATGAGGATTTAGCCGACAAATGTCAGAGCGGAGTGTCCGTCGTTACCCTTCGACCTCGTGGAGATCCTTCGATGGACTGGCGAAACGAGGAGTCGGATCACTCGAGCGGTACGTATCGGGGCAAGAAGATGCTCCTCGTGAGCCGCCGAGTAACGACTATGTGAGCTTCCTTTCTGCCCGGATAGTTGAGAACCTAAAATGGGATGAGAACGACACCGCGACCAGGAAGAAGGACACCCCCACCTTGAACCGCAACGTTCGGTCCCAGGGAGTCCAAGTGCGTCGGGGTCGTGACTTCCCCGATCGAAGCTGGGAAGTCGAAAAAATTAATTTCCAAAATTGATAAACTAACGAATGAAGGATGAAATTCACATATTATTTAATTTAATCTCGAGCTATATGTTTTTTAATTATCCTAATTTATTGCTCCCATTTGAAATTTGGACTAATATGATTTTGTTTACTTCTGCAAAAATAGGATGTTTCGGCATAAATAAATAAATAAAAAAATAAAGATATAGATTTTTTTCATTAAGGTTGGAGTCGGAGCTTGCAAGGACATCGGAAACTTCACGTGCGCCTTGGAGAATCTGGAGCTCGAGAGCGAGGAAGACCAAAATCACACGAGATTTAAGTCGAACGATGCACAGACGAATTACTTCAACGTCTCGAAACAGGAAGAGACCGCTCCGGTTTTCAAGACTTGGGAGAAATCTACCTTTCAATTGGTGCTACAGGGACCGGATATCCTGAATTTCCAGGTGAGAATCGTGTCGCTTATCCGCAAATTATTCGGGCTAAAATATAATGGCACAGCTCGATAGAAAGAAAGAGAGAGAGACATTAGAATAGAATTTTAAAGCTGAATTAAACGATTTGTTTTAAGGACATTGTATAGAAATGAAAGAATCCGTCCTAATTTAAAGACTCACTCGCTCCTGATGATTTATCTCGCAGGGTACAAGACATTCTCCCGCGGATATCGCGCCCTATTGGAAGAAGGACTGTAGGATGTGGCTATGGAAGTCGGTGAGGCTCGCGAGGAAGATAAGAAGGACTAAAGCGAAGGCTGTCCCTCCTTTGCATCGCAAGGAGCTTTTATAGCGTACACTTTTACTCGCCAATGGAGGAGAATCCTCGGATTTTTTTTCGAGAAGGAATCCTGATTTTATTTCTTTTTTTACGAAAGTGTTTTAATTTTGTGCGAATCGTTTTTAAACAATAGATGTTCTTAATAGATCATTTTTAATTTTCTTGCTAAAATGAACTTTCTTTTTTACCAAATTCAACGAATTTTCTGCCGAATTAAATTAATTTAACTAATGCTACTATTTCGTGAAATTTTATTAACGCATAATTATTAGGAAATATTAGACTTTATTTTTGCGCCAGATGCTGTCATTAATTTTATTACAATATATATTACTAATGATAAGATATGATACATGTGTACACGACACTACTTCAAGAGGGAAAGATGCGACAGATCTTTCCGTCCTGAATGTTAATTCGTTATCGGAAAATTGGAATTATTGGAAATTTCTACAGTTTTTCCCTTGATCTTTCTGGTTTTTATAACAAAAACAGTAATACAGTAATAATATGTCGAATATTTACGTGAGAATTATTAACCTACGATAATCTGAGATAATTGATATAACAGATGATCACCTGTGACTTCAGCCGCAAGTCTGGACGCTCTCCAGCGTCGGTTCTGAGGTTGGCTCGTCCAACTCCTCTCCCATCTCGAAACGCGCGAAATCGACGACCTCGGTCTGCGCATTTTCCAACAATTCTTGCACGGAAAGACTAGGATCCAACAGGAACTCTTGATAGATCATACAGGTCTCCTCATCCATGTTGTTGTGCGGCTCGTCGACCTGCGGGTTTCCAATCTTCTGCGGGTCCATGCCTGCACATTCAAATACATTACGCATCTAAAAGATCTATGAATCTGCGAACTGAGAACTTTTTTCCCCAGCGCGCAAATAATATCGGTTTAACATATTTTTTGCCGGAAATGATATTTTCAAGATGTCTACTTAAACCTGAAAAAAAGTTCCTCTGAGAATCCCCTGATTTTCTAATATTCTAAAAAGACAATTTGTTAAAAAATTGCAGGTAAAATGAAAGTATCTTGCAAATGAATTATTCATTGTGCAAAATCCTTAATATTTTCCATCCATAGAAATTTATAAATCATAAAATCAAGAATTACTCAAGTTTCAATAATTCAATTTGAAAAACTTCTAAAGAAACTATAAGGACTCTACAAAATAAATATTTTATATTGCAAAAAGTTTTCAAATTTTATTTTCAAAGGTTACTAACAAAAAATTATATGATGCATAACCGACACAAAACGCAACTTTTATAAATCATTAAAATAAATATATTAAAATATATCTGTCTTAGTTAAACAAAATTGCACCTAACACGAAATCGTTGATTTCAATATTAAATATCGGATTAATCGTGCGTGCTCTAAGTATCATTAAAAATCAAGTCGAAAAATTCTGGACTATTTTTTTCTATAATTTTTTATGAAAAAAATATTATTAAGTAAAATTCAGTCAATCATACAATATTTATCTGTGGACAACGCGATAATCTGGCTTGCAGACAAATGTCTATTTCCCTGAAAAAGTTCCCTGATTTTCAATAAAATTCCCCGAGAGTTCCCAGATTTTTCTAGACATAAAGAAACTCTCTGAAAATTCCAGGTTTTTCAGGCATTTCCAAGTAGTAGACACCCTGACTTTTTATTTTCATTTTCTTTCAGAATATTAACTTCCTCTGATATTAATTTTTTTGCTAGGAAGATGAAGTCTTGTAAATTTAACGATTATGCGATAACTGCAACTGCGACAATTTACCTATGATATGCTGACAAAGTTGCGTGCCCAATATATTGTCGCTCTCCTTAGTTTTGACAGCGACGAGGGCACCGTACTTGCCGAAGGACACGGGGATAGGGTTCATGGGCGCCGGATGCGTGCAGCCGAACAATGTGACGTCCGGTTGCACGCTGATGGCGAGGGCACGTCGCAGACTGATGTTCTCGCCGACGTTGCCGATGGTCAAGGCAGCGTGATCGCCTAGCGTCTTGCCATCACCCGCTGACAACGTCTTGAGAGCTTCCATGTGGAATACTGTACGCTGCACCTCGTTTTGAATCTCTTGGCCCTTGGAGTGACTCAGTATCGCTGATGTCACAATTTCCGCAAGGTTGTGGAACTTCTTGTTTCGTGCCACAAAATCGGTCTCGCAGTTGACCTCCACCAAAGCTGCATAATTTTGATCTACCATCACCGTGATCAGACCTTGTTTAGTGCTACGACCCTCCAGCTTAGCTGCTTGGGCCCATCCATGCTGCTGTGCTTGTTCCCTCAGCCACTTTTCAGCCTAGAGCAAAGATAGACCAAGAAATTCAGTCGTAAATCGATTAAAATCATAGTTGTACACGCTTGAATCATGCTGACGGATCTCCTACCTTCTGCACGTCGTTCTCATGCAACTCGAGGGCTTTCTTGCAATTGGTGAAGGTGTAACCAGTCTTCTTGCGCAGCTTCGCCAGCAGGGACTTGTTCGAGGCCTGCCAGAGCAGGCCATTTGTGTGAATAAGACGGAATACTCGAGATGGGATCATCTGAAACGCGATGTACTTATTAGTTATCATAAATCTGCGTTGTTAATTGTTTAAAAGAATTGTGGTATTCGTTCAGGCGTGATATTTTGTACAACGTTGTTTTGCGAGTTTGGAGGTATCGCGCGTAACGGAAATTTAAACGTGAAACATGACTTATAAATGCATAAAATTATTATGTTTATTCCGGTTTGAATTATAGAAAAATAATCTACGCAGGTGGTTATGTATGCTCGAACATAACCTAAAAATCGCACGCGACAGTCGAGCACTTCGAGGAAGTCCAGGCAGTGAGACAGAAAGCGAGAGAAAGATAGAGAGAGAGACAAAAACAAGAAGAGATGCGAAATTATGCTCCCGCGAGCTCTGACGTTCGCAGGATTCGTTAATTTCCCCGAATCGATCCCGAACCTCGTTGCCTGGAGACTGCAATCAAGGGTGCTGGTGCCGTGGCCGCCGCGGATTTTCTTTGTAACGCACGCTTCTTTAACACGAGAGGGACACGCGTGCGAAGTCGCGTGAACGCGGGGCGAATGTCGAGAGATTAATTTCACGACGTGAGCCCGCGAATATCCAACTGCGGATCGCGTTAGTCTCGCAATTTTCGCCAACAACTACACCGGTTTGGCGGTGCAAACACTCACCGTGCGTGAAGGTTAGGGGACATAACGCAGGTCCGTAATCAACTCCTCGATTCTCCCGGGGGCTCGGCACTTTTCCGTCCAAAAATAACCGAATGAATTATTAGCGTCTAATTATCAATAATTATCAATAAAGAATTCAAAATCAATTTTGGAGAGAATCATAAATTTTGTAACTGGCGAGGTAATTTTCATTAATGATAATTAAAATATTTTATCTCGGGGAGGGGAGGCGCGAATATATAAAGAGAAATTTGTCCTATCGAGTTAAGAATCAAATCGTGTGTTTCTAATGTGTGATTAATGATCACACTTTCGGGCTGGAATTTTAATATATGTTCTCCAGGAATATTAGGAATTCGTTAGATGTTGCCTTGTGTCGGAATCTGCGAGTGCCGCAATTGCAATTAAATATGGAGAGCTGTTGGACGGAGGAGACGACCGCGCGAAATAGCAAGTTGGAAGATGCGTTCCAAATACCTAAGATCCTCAATATGAAGATAGAACCGCTGTTTTCCTTGCCGCCGGAGTTGATGAACGCTAAGAGATACAAGAGAGAAGGCGGGCTAATTAAGCGAAAGGAAAAGGCGCAGAAACTCTACGAGAGTTCTTACACAGCGGAGCGGCTTCGCAAGGAGAGCTTCCGCAGGTATAAGAAAGAATTTCGATAACTTCAGTTTCATTAATTGCGGCAAGCTCAAATGTTATCTGATATTAACATAATATTCGCTAATAGTCTAAAATTTAATGTTATCAGATATTATATATACACTAACCACCATATGTATGTATTAATATTATACCGTATTAGAGGGATATTATTTTAGGCATTATATTGTCTCGGTATATTAATTTTAATTAATGTGAACATTAATTTTAATTAATGTGAACAACAACGAAATCATTACCATACTGTGATAAAACTCAAATAAAATAGAATTGGTTTTGCGCAATGCAAAGCGACGCGACAGATTACATTTCTGACTTAATCACCGGGTCGGAGAGGGACTTGTGACGCTCCAAATGGATTCTTTTGCGACTAGATTTATGGTGGGTTTAATAGTGAAACCGGAGCTGCCGGAGGTGAGCGTGGACCTAAGCGACGATAAGGACGTCAACCGTTATTATTATTACATCTGCAACGGCGTTGATACAATTAACACGGCGAGTATCGGCCAAGATTGCATCGACGCGATACTCGCTTTGGTCCCCGGCACTTTGCGCGAACGATTTCCCGATTTCGCCGATAATTTGATGTACGAGATCAAGGAGGACTTCACGAGGAACATCAAGAAAGCCGTCGTCGAGTTCGCGCTCGCGAATCCTTTCGAGGACTATCCCTCCGAGGTAACGGCATGACTTTTACCCCTCCCGAAGGGGAGGGAGGAGAGAGAGAGAGAGAGAGAGAGAGAGAAAGAGAAAGAAAAAGAGATGGATCAACTTCCATCGACGTCAAATTTCAATTTCATTTGTCGAACGCCAAGAACACCGATTGTACGATATAATCTTTATCTTCGTCGGTTGAAGACGACTCGATATTTTCGCGGCAATCTCGCGCGTCTCATACTTGTATAGTAAAAATAAATAATCAAAATATACAGGGTGTTCCAGATCAACAGGGATTTTCGAGTTATTAAAGAAATACATATATACAATACTTTATACACGGCCATTTTCCACAGTTAATAACTCAAAATTCCGCCTGTTGTTTGCAAGATGGTAGAGGACTTTTTATTCGTCTTCACCCGTTCTAGGTTCTCAGGAAATTCGTCTGTGTTGTTCTGGGACACCCTGAACAGCAAATGAGACAAACAACTTTAATACGCGAATATTTCCAACGAAACAGTTTCAGTATCGCTTTCGCATTGTATGCGAGATCGGATAATAGAGATTGACGTTTCACCGTTGACAAGTTAATTCGCTGTATCGATTGCAGTTCGACGCGATTGAGGTGGGCGATCAGCAGCAAACCGTTCGGTCGGATTTGCGAAAACACATCGTGTACTGTCGCGAGATCCTGCGCGCCGATTTGCACCTGGTAAATCCGTGCATGCGAATGACCCTGGAGCATTGGGTGCGCGATTACAGGTAACATCGCCGAGCTTACACGACGATCCCAACATCGTAGTTTCGTTGTTCGCCAACGGAACGGTGACTTTTTCCCTTTCTCCTTTTTCTCGTCTCTTTCCAGCGAATTTCGCCTGATCAATATGAAAGGTATCGTCGTGCACAAGGGAAGCTGGGATTTGGCGGACTTCAACAGCTTGATCGTCCGTCAGATCGCCGACAACCAGCGGATTCTTAGCAAGTCCTGGTACCTCGGGATCCAAGAGATATTTCTCGTGGTAATGATCGGCGATTCACTCGAGGATGTATTGCCCATAAGCTCCAAATAATGAAAAAATTACAAATTGACCCACATTACATTTAAAAGTGATATCAAAAGTTTGACAGTAATTTAGAGTCTGGATCAGTTAAGAAAGTTATTTCGCTTTAAAGGAGGTCGCAAGGTGAAATGAGTTTGAAAGAAGTCGATGAAACTTGCATTGCATATATATTGAAATGTTATACACATTGAAATTATTTAACTCATTACTCGTGTAATTAGAAAAAAATTGATTATTCAACAACTGAGATATTTGTAACTAAAGTTAACACTTTTGATATGTATTCCTTAAGATAGCTATTTTTTAATTTCTATTTTTAATATCTTCCAAGTTAAAAATAAAATTTTTATGAATACTACTATGATATTAAAGACTATGTACGCAGAGATTATACACAATTTTTAAAATTATTGGCCGTTTTGTTTTGAAAATATAGCGGTGTAAAGTTTACGATTTGTAGTAATCGAAATATATGCACATATTTAAACACGTATATCTCTTTTTATTATCTGTATATTATTATTGAATCAATTAACGCATAAAATAGTATTTAAAAAAAAAAGAAAAATAATGATATTTCTGCATTTAATAATAATAATATTGTATATATATATATGTATATATGCTACTTTACCTTCTCGTCTCAAATTAATATTTATTATCTGGGTAGTAAAATAAATATATGAAATAAATATAGGATAAAGTAGTAAAATAAATATAGTAACGTAATTTTTCTTGATAAATATTAGATTTACAAGTGGCTCCCTTGATGTGTCACCGAATACACAGCACTAATGGGCAATAAATCCTCAAACACGTCCTTGATCCTTGAGAACAAAAACGGACGAAATATGATATATGTGAGAAAATTTAAAGGAAATAAATTCACCATTCATTTCATTTGGTTCTTGTAAATTTCTTTTTATTTCCCTTATTTATTTCTCTTTATATTTATCCGTTCGCTTATTATTAAGTTATTTAAATATTTTGATTTATTTTGATATATTCAATTATTTATCGTGCAAAAGTCTTTCTCGACAAGCAAAAACGCGCAACGTCTGAAAAAAATAATTAGAAAGAAAACGTGTAATTACTTCCTTGTCCTTGTGTTTCTTTGGGTATCGATTATCTTTCTCATTTCTGTCGCTCGTTTATCCATTAATTGCGCCAGACGATGGTCATATACAGACCTGTTCGGAGTTGAGAAGCGTTAAAGGCTGAAGGGGGTGTCTCGTTTCCTGTTCGTCCAGTTCCTTATCCGAATCCTTTTCAGAACAATAGGAAAAATCTGGTGCCCAGCCCATTGCGACGTAAGCAGTTCAGAAAGTTCTTCGATTGCGCTGCCGGCCTGATGGAGTCGCAGCTTTTAAACGCCTGCAAGTACTCCCTTCGGGATTTCGTTAATTACATCGTGCACGGTAAGGTGAATATATAGATGTGTGTGTATGTGTGTGTATATCCGCCTTCGACCGCGATCGATTGTCGCGGAAATCATTTCCAGCGCGAGGAAGTGCACGCGTGTCCTCAACGGCGTTTCCTTCCTCTGCAGCGTTATTAAAGCCCTTTTCGCAATAATCTTCATCTTCTCAGCTTTCAACGCTCTTCGAGGCTTGTCAGCATTTATTTCGAATTTTTTACAAGCACCAGAGAGACGCTACCGACGCGACGTACAACTACACGACGTGTAATTTGCGAATTAATAGGCAAGACTATTACTGCATTCCTTATTTGTAGCCGTACATCTCTCTTTACTTTCGCGTCGGGCGTTTTCGACGAACGACGTCGGGCTTTATACTCTCTTCGTTTCTCAACAGCCAACGGTCTGCAGCTTTAAGCTGAACGTCGTCGTCGAGTCCAATGAGATCGTCTTCGAGCCGTCCTTCGACAAATTTAAGGAATCGCTTTGCAACATTCTCGAGATGATATGCGACGCAGCGAGGAATTTCGAGAGATTGGAGACGCAGCTCTACCTCGACTGGGCGGGTCCGCAAGAATTCCTTAAGGTTTCGCATTATTAAGCACGGGGGGACCTCGAAATATCGGAGGGCCCCCGACTTATCACTCCGATCGCTCCGACCGGGACTAAAGAAATCGGGACGATCGCGCCCATTTCGCTCTATCTCGCGAATATCCACCGTTCGGGCTCGTGAGACGCATTTCTTATCGTCTGAATCCTTATCACTGATGATTGCCCGCATCTTGCTCTTTGCAGCCGAAGATCTCGCAGCCCATCGTGGAGCGTTTCAAGACGCAGATAAGAGAGCTGATCGACTGCGAGAGAATAATCCCGGAGCAGAAGATGACCGAGCTGAGGAAGTGCTTATCGATTCTCATCAGCACGAATGGTCCGATAAGGACGTTCCTCCTGATATAACGTAGCTTCCCGCTTGCAGATGCTACATCTATCTCTGCGACGGCGAGGAACTGGCCCGGGCGGAAGTCTTCCTGCTCGACGAGAACAGGAAGCTGAACGAGCACGGCGAGAAAATTAAGCACTACCACGAGCTGGCCGGTCGGATCGCGATGGACGTCGAGAGGACGGTATTCGTGGGTTTCTTCGAAATTTCCCACACGTCCTTTGTCGACACCGTCACCGGCAACATCGAGCACTTCAAAGGGCTCTTGCTTCGTCATCTCGTCGACAAATATCAGACCATCACGAAAGGGTAAATAATCGAGATGAAAAAAGAAATTGCAGCGTTCAAAGGATCCTACAATTATAATTAGTTGTGTTAGTTATATTTTCATTAATTTTCATCGCACGGTTTCCAAGATTGCTCTTTCGCATGGGTTTTTCAACGTTTCATATTTAACGAACAAATAACAACCGGCACTTTTCCGCCCGTGCCTTTTGTCGAGGGAAAACGAAATAATTGTATCTCCCGCGTTTTAATTCTATGTTTAATTCTATGTATTCTCTATGTTTCGTCAATTTTTTCATGCGCACGTGTTATTTCATATATTAATTAAAATCTCAATGCAACACGCAAAATACTTTCCGTTTCCCATGTACGAAATTACTTTCGCAACAAAGTCTTCTTATTTTCGCCAACGTTTCCTATCTACAAATGTCACACTGAATAATCGTTTTTCACAAAGGGCATTGAACGCAAAAAATGCTGTCGCGTCAGCAAAATTGGTCGACAGCGTCATAATGGGAGTAAATCTTCGCGATTCAGTAGCAAAATATTAAAACTAATACATCATACATTATTTTAATAGTAATAACTCAAGTGTCGATTTCAAATATTGCTATTGAATCAAGAAGATTTATTCCAATTATGGTTCGGTTGATTAATTCTATCGATGCAATAGTATATTTTTCCGTGTAAATTATTGATCGCTGTAATAAAATGCAACCAAAAACTTATACATCTAGCGTTGTGACGGAATACGAGGCCATAATTGAGCAAATCTTGACCCCGCCTCTCAATACCGCGGCTCTGATGGAACTCATCGGGTTCGCGCAGACGATCAGTGACGTCACGATGAAGAGCCTGGAGCTCAAGCTGATGGACACAATCGTGCACATCGTATTTTTGTCGGACTATTGGCTGCTCACCGAGAGTGAGATCAGTATTAACAGCAGGGCCTTCCAGTTGTACCACAGGATGCCCCAGGTTTTCGAGGACAATCGGATCATCATCGAGACCAAGACGCTGGAATTTCAAGAAGCGCTGAGAGGTTCATTCGTTGACAGTTGGACTTATTTTCTCATCGGCAATCAGATCGATATTCAATCAACTAAATTATCCTCGTCGTTAATTGAATGTTATCGGGGAAATTCGATGGATTTTCCGACGAATCGAGAGCGATTTATCGAAATTAACGTTCGCTTAATTCTATTCGCTTAAAAATTAATACCCAATTAATATTCGTATTTATATTTACCACGGTTATTTTTAATGTTATTCGCCTGCTGCGTCTCAACGGCGAATTATCTTGGTCTCCCCTTGCAGTCAGATACCAGAAGTTCGCGGAAGAGTTGGATTCCTATGAGAAACAGTTGGACGAGATGCAATATTGGGGCGACATCGACGAGATATATCGTTACCAGCGCAAAGCGCAGCTCCTAGAGGAACAGTTGATCGCGGCGATGCAGAAAATCGACAGGTTCAACGAGGAGGAGGTCTCCTTCGGCTGGGAAATCACGCAGTATCCTCTGCGGAAGCAAATCGCGGACGGTCTGCAGCCGTTCAAGAAGCTCTTCGACAGCGCCTGCGAGTTCCTCACGAAGCATGACAAATGGATAAATAGCATGATCGGCACGTATTATCCCGAGGACATCGACAACGACATGGGCAACTTCTACAGGTCGAGTTTCGTGACTTGGAAAAGTTACAATAAATATTACAAAAAAATTGTATAAAAGCAGGACAAATATTACACCGTGAATTATTCATCTACATTTATTTACTTATAATTTCCACTTCTAATCTCTTCGTCTCCTCATCTTTAATATTTAATATATTTTGTAACTCTCTCTTTTTACCTTCTTTTTTTTATTTCCGTTTGCGACTTTTTTTATATTATTTTATGTAAGCTAAAGGGATTCTTCCCGTGAATAAAGATTGTTATTATTATATCCTGCACGCGACGCAAGCTACGAAAATTGCATATATATTTTCTGTAATCTGTATTTGTAATTTAAATTGACAGTTGTATAAATTCACATAGTTTCATTATGCGATATTTGTCTAGAAAATATATCGCTTATAGCTCTGTTTAATTTATGATATTCTACTGCAGCTATACGCAAAAATTGTGTACAAGACTTTCCAAAGGGATTTTTGTTATCGTGTAAATAAGTTAGAATTAGAATTAAAATTAAGTAGAGAATTGGAACTAAATATACACTAATCATTATCTTGTCAATATTTCTTTTTACTTGATGATAAAATCGAGTTCGGGCCGTAGGACGATCTACAAGCTGGAGAAAGCGTTCCATGAACCGGATGTGCGAGAACTGGCGCTCACGGTTCGCGAGAAGATCGAGGATTTCCGGAAGTATATGCCGGTGATAATGACGCTGGGTAATCCCGGCATGAAGCTGCGGCATTGGGAGCAAGTTTCGGCGATCGTGGGTATCCCCATCAAGTTCGACCCCGACCTGACCTTAGGCAAGGTGCTGGCTATGGAGCTGGAGGCGTACATCAGCCAGTTCGAGGTCATCTCCGAGGTCGCGACGAGGGAGAGCGCTCTGGAGAACGCTATCGACAAGATGCAGAAAGAATGGGCCGATTTGGCATTCACGGTGAACCCGTACAAAGACACCGGCACCTTCGTCATCGCCGGTGTCGACGACATACAGCTCCTGCTCGACGATCACATTATGAAAACAGTGACCATCAAAAATTCCCCGTACATCAAACCCTTCGAGACCAGAATAATGTAATTCTATTTGCTTTCGTTGTAACGTTATTTTTTATATCAGTTGTTTCATTTTAATCATTGTTTTTCTATATTTGTAAATTCTTTGTCATTTATATTTTATTTGTTTCGTTACTTTTATTTTATTCATTTATCTTTGTTTGTATTAGTATTGACTTCAGTGATACGATTTATTTAGTTTTCATTTTCAACGATTAAAGTTATCATTTTTTGTATTTCTATATTTTTGCGTATTTCAGTTGTTATTTTCTTAATTTTATTGTGCGTATGTGTGTTTTATTAACGGGACAAAAATTAATGTTATCGTTCCATCGAGTATCCTCATGGCCATGATACAAGCTGTCTCAAAAAAGGACAATTGAATGTATAATATTATAACTTATGATAAAAGTAAACTATTAATGTATAACAATATGTATCATTTGATCACAGAAAATGGGAGAAAACGCTGCACTTGCTGCAGGACATCCTGGACCAATGGCTGAAGGTCCAGGGTGTTTGGATGTACCTCGAGCCGATCTTTACCTCGCCGGACATTCAGCAACAAATGCCGGAGGAAGGGAGGAAGTTCTCTACGGTCGATAAAATATGGCGGGACATTATGAAGAACGTCCAGAGCGACCCGCGCGTACTCGTCGTCGTCGAGATCGACAAGATGCTGGAGCGGCTCAAGAAGAGCTTCCTGCTGTTGGAGCAAATTCAATTGGGCCTGAACGATTACTTGGAGAGAAAGAGACTCTACTTCCCCAGGTTCTTCTTCCTTTCCAACGACGAGCTGCTGGAAATCCTGTCTGAGACGAAGGATCCAACACGGTAATATAACGATAATTATAAAGTAATTAGAAGATTTTTTAATTGCTCATCTTTGCATATTTCTATACACAAGATAATTAATGTAAGCTATTATTACTTAATTTTAGTTTCTTATTTATAACTAACACAAGTTAATTTCTATGAGCAATATATTTTCTGTGAGAACGTAATTATTTTTTATTTAAACTATAATTATACATAGTGCGATAATCTATGCAAGGAAAACGACCAGGAACAAGAGCTACAGAAAACGAAATTTTTATATTCAACGGGAACAAAAAAAGATAATCGAGAATAAGTTTAGGATAAGAACGTTGTTTCTCTTCAGGGTGCAACCGCACTTGAAAAAGTGCTTCGAAGGCATAGCGCGATTGAGATTCAACGAGGACCTCGAGGTGCTGTCAATGCAGTCTTCAGAAGGCGAGGTGGTCGATCTCACGGAGATCATATCGACCTCCGCCGCTAGAGGACAAGTGGAGAAGTGGCTGGTCGAGCTCGAGTCTGAGATGCGGAAGAGCGTGCGGTACGCCGTGCACCAGGCGATACTGGCGTATCACGAGGAGGAAAGGACTGTCTGGGTGTTGCAATGGCCCGGCCAGACTGTCCTCTGCGTAGGTCAGACGTACTGGACGCAACAGGTCGAGGAAGCCATGCCTAAGGGGGTGGAAGGCTTGAAGAGATACTTGGAACAGTCCCAGCAGGAGCTGCATGACATTATCCTGCTGATACGAGGAACCCTCTCCAAGCAGAACCGCACCACTCTCGGTAGGTGATTGAACGAGAACCGGTCGAGATCTTTTAAAGCTTGGGGGAAAAAATCGAGAATATTGTTTTTACGATGATGATGTTGTTCTTTCCAGAGGCTTTGGTTACGCTGGATGTACACAGCAAGGACGTCCTCGAGGCACTGCACAGGGACGGAGTGGTGAAGAATACTGACTTCCAGTGGCTGTGCCAAATGAGATATTATTGGATGGTACTTAATTAATGTCGCAATTAGGGTCTGTCGATTACGAATTTTCGATATCAGAATAATTAGTCAGCGTTATTCATCTCCTTTAACGATCTTCTACCAAGAAATTATACCGAGAAATATTTATCTCTCCTCCGCGTGGAGAATTAATTTATTACATTGCATTTAGTTAGATTACGTTAGATTAAAGGTTATGAGAGATTAGATCGCGTTCTATATTAAACATTGTCAGTAGATCTTCACTTTCTGCATTGTTTTTTTCTGTTCGACATTTAATTATTTTTATGTATAATTCTATAATTATATATATTTTATGTGTAATTATAGAATTATATATAATGAATGTATAATTATAGAATATATATAATTCTATAATTATGTATAATTATAGAATTATGTATAACACGAAACTAAATAAAAACATAAATAAATGATAATAAAATTAATGATAATAATATATACGACACGCGAAATGTGAAAGATAATTAACTAATTAAACGTAATAAAGATTCCGTACTTCGTACCGCACACACGCACACACACACACCTCACATTTTCGACGTGGTACGACTTCAATCGCGTTTCCGCACAGGAGGACAACATGCGGGCGTACATGATCAATTCTTACCAACGCTACGGCTACGAGTACCTCGGCAACACGACTCGACTGGTGATCACCCCGCTGACCGATCGGTGTTACCGTACGCTCTTCGGCGCGCTCAGCCTTTACCTGGGTGGCGCGCCCGAAGGACCGGCCGGTACCGGTAAGACGGAGACGACGAAGGACCTCGCGAAGGCAGTAGCCAAACAGTGCGTCGTCTTCAATTGCTCCGAGGGCCTCGACTACCTCGCGCTCGGCAAGTTCTTCAAAGGACTCGCCTCCTGCGGCGCCTGGTCCTGCTTTGACGAGTTCAACCGCATTGACCTGGAGGTTCTGTCGGTCGTGGCGCAGCAGATCCTCACGATCCAGCGCGCCATTAACGCCGGCCTTGAGAAGATGGTCTTCGAAGGCACCGAGATCTACTTAGACCCCACCTGCGCCACCTTCATCACCATGAACCCGGGATACGCCGGCAGATCGGAACTGCCGGACAATCTCAAGGCCCTCTTCCGACCAGTCGCCATGATGGTGCCCGATTACGCACTCATCGCGGAGAACACCCTGTACTCGTACGGATTCTACAACGGCCGACCGTTGGCCGTGAAGATCGTCACAGCTTATAAGCTCTGCTCGGAGCAACTCAGCAGTCAGCATCACTATGATTACGGTATGCGGGCGGTTAAGTCCGTCTTGATCGCGGCTGGTAACCTGAAGCTGCGCTATCCCGAAGAGTCCGAGGATATTCTCATGCTGAGGAGTATTCTGGACGTCAATCTGCCGAAGTTCTTGATCCACGACCTGCCGCTCTTCGAAGGTACGAAAATCGAAGCCCGGGGATTTTTTTCACACAGCTCTCCCCACGTGCGTTATTTATTTTAAATATTACGAATATAGTTATATGGAAATGTTACGATTCTTACTATGCTTGAGTTGAAATTCCAGAACCAAAAAATCTCAAATTTCAGTATTAAAAACATCTCCTACACTCCCCACTAAATTTCATCCTTGACACTTTCCATCTGCAATTTTATCGTTGATAATCAATTAATTAATTGAGTAAATTAATGTTTATTATTGAAATGTTTTTAAATAATATTTACAAAGAAATATATACGTTTTCCGATTTAGATCCGAGTTGCCAATAGAATTTTTTCTCGACGAATAATCCTTCAGACGAATTCCGTAGAGACGAAGTTTGAGTTTTTAAATTTCAACTTTCTCCTCTATCAGGTATAGCCTCGGACCTCTTCCCCGGCGTAATCCTGCCGACGCCGGATTATACGCACATCAACGCGTGCACGCGGGAAGCCTGTGCCGAGGCGAACCTGCAGTGCACGGATTTCTTCCTGGAGAAGATCCAGCAGATCTACGAGATGATGATCGTGCGACACGGCTTTATGCTCGTCGGCCTGCCGTTCGGCGGCAAGACCTCGGCGTACAAAATGCTGGCGGAGTGTCTGAGACTGCTGGAGAGCAGGCAGCTGATGGACGAGCATCGCGTGGAGATCACCGTGATCAATCCCAAGGCCGTCACCATGGGCCAGTTGTACGGCCAGTTCGACCCCGCCTCGCACGAGTGGAGCGACGGCATCCTCGCGGTGTCTTATCGCGCCTTCGCGACCTCCACTAATCTCAACAGGAAGTGGCTCATCTTCGACGGGCCCGTGGACGCTATTTGGATCGAGAATATGAACACGGTGTTGGATGACAATAAGAAGCTTTGCCTCACCTCCGGAGAGATCATCCAGCTCGCGCCCACGACGAACCTGATCTTCGAGCCTATGGATTTGGAGGTGACTTGAGGTTACATAGCGCGGTTCGGAGAATTTTGCATGAGATATCTCATTTGACTTAGTTCGAGAAGTTTTTGTGCCAGGTCCGAAGTTGCATACTTTGAATTCGAAGTCCTCGGAATTTTGGATCAATATATTCTGAATTCTAAAATTCACACAGAAAAAAATGCCGTATTCCAATAATGAATTACTCCAATTACTCCTTAGCAAAATTTTTTAAATATTTTATTAGGTAATTATCCAAGTAAAATTTAATTAATTCACGGGAGGAAGAAATTAGCTGTCCATATAATACAGCTGAAATTTAGTTACCAGACTTAATTTTTAATTCTAGAAACTATAAACTAGATATAGAGACAAATAATTGACTGAATTAATTAAATTTCAGTTGTATTATATAGACAGCTAATTCTTACTTGTGGGAATTTTTATTTCCATGCGACCAAAGCTTGCTAAAGAACATTAGAGTAATTATTTACTTGAATCTAGCACTTTTTTCCCGTGTAATATTTAAAATCTGGAATCTGCGACCCAGGATTTGTAATGTAAAATCTAAAATGTAGAATCTTAAAATCGGGAAATATTGGAAATTTAGGATTGCGCGTGAAAATTTACAATCACGCATCTGACATTAGAAAAGCGAGATTAAAAAAAATCGAAGGCGCAAGAATAAAAAATGTTTACCATGTTACAAATCTGGGACAAAAACGCGGTAACAGGTCGCATCGCCGGCTACGGTGTCGCGATGCGGCATGATTTACATGGAGCCGGCGAGTCTCGGCTGGATACCAATTTTGACCTCGTGGCTGAATACGTTGCCGGCTACTCTGAACGAGAATATCAAGAGTCACTTGAAGGATATGTATCTGCGGTTTTGCCCGCCTCTGTTACATCTAATACGCCGTTGTGGCGCAAAGGTGAGCTCTATTAGGTGGCTGCTCGGGTAAACTTTTCTCGTTTCCGCCGATAGTCGCGGTCCTCACCGCCCTCTTGTCTGCAGGAAATTATAACGATGCCGGACGCCAATCTGACGCGCTCGGTAATGTACCTGTACGACTGCTTCCTGGACGACTATTACGACGAGAAGTACGTGAGCGCGCTCTCGGAATTAAATATGAGAGCTCAAGTAGAAGTGAGTAAATTTTAAGGAAAAATTAAAAAGAAAAAATTATTAAGAAAAATTTCCAGGGCGCTGCGGTTTTCTGGTTTACAAATTCTTAGCTGCACATTGCGATGCAAATGGAAGTACGCGATTAAAAAGCACAAAGCTTTCATAATGGTGAAAAGAAATAAGTTAAAGAAATCAAAGTAAATAATGACACTTCTTCACTTATACTCATCATTTCTCACGAATTATGATTTAAGTATCATGGCAGTCCTACTAATTATGTGCACATTTGTTTTCAAGATATATGAGATCACCTTCACTGACAGAAAAATTTTTGTTAATTTAACAAGATATCAGTACCTGCAACAAATAATTTATACATATACAATTACAATAAATTGTTATTATTATAGTCATGTTATAAAAAATGATCTTGTAATGGGAGCAAATAATTTGTACTTTTAATTTGCAACTCTAGCCAACTTTGGCTTGGTAATAGTTTATTAAAATAATAAATGATGAACAAATGATGATTAGCAACAGTAATTTTCCGATCTGTTTTCCTAAACAGGTCATAAAGCAACAAATTATAAAGGAACCCTTCGATCTGTTTTCGTAACGGATTTTCAAATAACAAAAGAGCTTTTGTTCCGATAACTAAGGGATTTTTTCACTGTTGGGAATATTTAATTTTGAGAGAATGAAATTTTCGTGACACAGGGTTGCTTCTTCTTCTCCTGTATTTGGGCTATGGGCGGCACGCTGATGGCCAACTATCGTGAGTGGTTCAACATGCTGTTCAGAGCACTGCTGGACAATCAATTCCCGGAGGCAGTACGGACACGCTTCGACATCCCGCCGGAAATCGGAGACCCGAAGCAGCCGTACGTGGCTTCTTTGCCGCCCACCGGCTCGGTTTTCGACTATAAATTCATCAAGAAGGGTAAGGGCGAATGGAAGCCTTGGCTGGACGATCTCAAGGACGCCCCGCCGATCCCTAGAGACATGCCGGTGAATCAGATCATCGTCTCCACGGTGGAAACCGTTCGATATTTCCATCTTTTCCACTACCTCGTCGGCCACCACAAGCCGGTCCTTTTGGTCGGACCGACCGGCACCGGGAAGTCCGTCTACATTATGGAGTATTTGCTGAAGAGGGCCGACCCCGAAATCTTCAAGCCGCTCTTCGTGATATTTTCCGCGCAGACCACGGCAAATCAGACGCAGGATATTATTATGAGCAAGCTGGACCGACGAAAAAAGGGTTCGTCAATTTAATCTGCAGAATAAAAAACACTATGTAGTTATGTTAAAATCAACTTTTTTGTTAAAAAATTCTTGTGTTAAATTTTTAACATACCCGTATGTTAATTTAACATATTGTGTTTTTGTCATCTCAATATTTTATGTTGAGTCGATATTCAACATGTGTAAGTGTTAAAATAATATTTTATGCTTCAATGTCGATTAACATATAATGGATATTAATTTTTTGTTAATTTTTGACATAGTATTGGTATTATTTTCCAACATATTAACCTTATGTTAAATTAACATAAAATTTGTGGTCTGTTTAGGACATGTGAAATGTGTCAAATTTAACACGGAGTTTTTTATTGTGTGGAATATCGATCTTGATATATTTCCAGTTGTTGAAATTATTGTTACTGTGTGATACGCATAGGTACGTATCTTTTAATCTAAAGTCGCTTAAAATTATTATTAAAATGATTAAGTTACGTATAAGTTTATTTAATTTCTCGGTATTTCGCACGCGTTTTAATAATTCTTCTAATTATTACGTATTTTAATACTTAATTAGCGTCAATACTTATTGATTATTCATAAAAATATTAATTATACACGGACAATCATTGAAACGTAAATCATCTCATCGATGTAATCATATTAATAACTATTAACGAGATTATTATTTATGTTCACACACAATCCTAAATTTTCAATATTTCTCGATTTTAAAATTTTCAAAATTTTAATGTCCTATATTTTAAATTTTGGATTACATATCCTGAAACACAGATTCTAAATTTTGAATATTACACAGAAAAAAGTGCCAGATTCAAGTAAATAATTACCCTAATACTTTTAACAAGTTTTTACACGGGAAAAAGAAGTAACTTCCACAGCTAAAGACTAGGTTTGGCAATTGTTGTGGATTCAGCCTCTTGAATTAATTGACCTAATCGAATCACACGGGAGAACGTTCTCACCTACTTTCCCATCGTCACAACATCACGATGATCACAACCGATCCGTTGACACAGCTTTATTCGGTGCGCCGCCCGGCAAGCATTGGGTGATCTTCGTGGACGATCTGTCCATGCCGCAGAAGGAGGTGTACGGCGCGCAGCCCCCGATCGAGCTCCTGCGACAATGGCTGGATCATTACACCTGGTACGATCGGAAGGATATAACGCCGTTCAAGCTAATCGATATACAGTTGATGTGCGCGATGGGGCCACCCTCGAGCGGCCTGGACGTCACGCCGCGTTTCAAGCGGCACTTCTTCACCCTCGGCATCTCCGAGTTCGAGGACGACGTGCTGGTTACGATCTTCGGCAGGATCACCGCCTGGCACTTCATCACCCGCGACTTCCCGCATTTCTACGGGCCGTGCGTAGACCATGTGGTCTACGGCACTCTCGACATCTACAAGGAGACCAGGAAGAACCTGCTGCCGACCCCTGCTAAATCGCACTACTTGTTCAACCTGCGGGACTTCTCGCGGGTTATTCAAGGCGTGTTGCTCTCCACTCCTCAGGGCATCATCAGCCCGGTACGGATTTCACCGAAATGCGTGAAGTGCAGAATGAATAATATTTCATATTATTATAGACATGAAATATTATCCAATTTGCCGTACATCTCTTGCAACTTGGTTCCTATTCGCGAAAAAGAGCGATTTTCCAGTGAAATATTCCATAATTATTTCGTAGTAATTAAATTATTAGTTGTTTTTTTTTTTTAAGAAGATAGTTTAATTTAAAATAATTGCTTTATAATTGAATTATAAAATGTGAGTTGTAGGATTAGATGAATATATAATCAATATCGCAGAATTTAAATAACTGCCTCGTCCCGATTGAAGGTCGCAATTATTATCCTCATTAACAACAATTACAAGCGATTTTCACAAGAAATAATATAAATCTCCGCGTTTCCCGGTTAAACAATATTTTCAGGCCGGCATAAGGCGTTTGTGGGTCCACGAGGTCCTTCGCGTTTACGGCGACCGGCTGATCGATGAGACCGACAACAAGTGGCTGGTGGGTCAGCTCCGAAGGACCATGAAGGAACACATGGACGACAACATGGACGAATTATTCGCGGACCTGCTGGACGAGTCCAGCGCGCAAGTGACCGAAGTGCATCTGCGAAACCTCATCTTCTGCGACTTCCACGACCCGATGGCGGATCAGAAGGTGTACATCGAGATTTTCGACTGGGACTCGCTCGCTTTGTCGGTGGAGGAGTATCTCGCGGAATACAACTCGCTCTCGAAGACGCCCATGGATCTGGTGCTCTTCAGGCGAGTCTTCAGTCAATATTAAAACGAATAATTATAATATAGTTTTCAAGTTTAGGAAAGAGACTCCTGTTCTCCGCTCACGCGCCGCATCGTACTTGGACCTACCCCACAGCGATGATCTAGAGCGCAGATCGATACAAACGTCAATAATTCCGCTTCCAGACGTCGTAACGACTTGAGACGAAAACCGTCTTGGAAAAGGAAAGTCGCCGTGTTTCCGATGCATTTCCGTAAATCATTTCTCCGTCAAATGAGGATCAATCAAGCGGGATTGTGCATGTGCGAGAGACATTGATTTTTGTGTTCGCGTTAAAGCGGAAATGGATTCACGTTGAATGGGAAACCAATGGGAAATCTTGCTTCGAATTCGTCATGCGAAGTGTCGGTTATATGTTTTCAACAGATACATAAAGTTCAGGTTGAAGGGGAAGGAAAATGAGCAATAATGGGGACTTCACGCTGATAAATCTAGGAACTTATCTATTAATAAATCTTGAATAGTAGTTTTATGAAGAATTATGCAGTAAGAAGACGATATACAATATACAAGGTGTCCGAATTAAAATATGACACCCGCCGTGTGCAGGTAGAGCGCATTAAACTGAACAGAAAAATCCTGGGCCGTTTTCCATACGCTGCCTTTATTATTAAGATATTAATTGAGGAAAACTGGCGAACAAGTGCATGTTATGTATCATAGATTCGCGATAGAGCATCTCTCGAAGATCTGCCGAGTGATGATGCAGCCGCGAAGCCACGCTCTTCTGGTCGGCATGGGAGGCTCAGGTCGGCAATCTCTGACAAAACTGGCGAGTCACATATCCGACTACGAGCTCTTCCAGATCCAAATGACTCAGCAGTACGGCCTTCACGAGTGGAGTGACGACCTAAAGCTCATCCTGCGGAGAAGCGCAGCTACCGATCTGCACACTGTCTTTCTCTTTATGGACACGCAGATCAAGGAAGAGACTTTCTTGGAGGACATCAGCAATCTCCTAAACTCCGGCGAGGTGCCGAATCTCTTCATGGCCGACGAGAAGGGTGAGATTTGCGAGCAAATGCGAGTCATCGATCGGCAAAGAGACAGGTATTCTTCCCGATCAAAATAATGAAATGTTTTTTGCTTTCGATGATAAAGCAATTTAGATTTCTGAGCGTATTACATTGAGAAAAAAATATTCGGTCGTATCTGGTCGGATAATCCGATTAAAAAGTCACAAACGGATATGTTCGATCAAATGCAATGTCCGATCGTTTCGTCGTTTCGTCTGTCGCGTCCATATCCGACGAAAATTACAACGGATATTCAAAGGGCGACTAACTTTCCGATTAGGTTTCCGATTAGGTTTAACTTCGGTTACTCATCGGATAAAAGTATCCGTTCAAATAAAAAGCAAAATAGTGTCTTCAAAATTCGCACTAAGAGCATTATTTCGCGGAGAGCCGAGGCTAAAACATCGGAAGGAATTTTCCTAAATTCCGCGATTCGTTATTTTGCACTTATAATTATTCCCCGATGCGAAATGAGACTTAGTCGTTCAGGAGATCTCCTTCTCAGGTCGATGCAGACAGACGGCAGCCCGGTGGCGCTCTTCAACTTCTTCGTGCAGACAGTGCGCGAGCACCTGCACGTGGTGCTGACGATGTCGCCGATCGGCGACAGCTTCCGCACGCGAATCCGCAAGTTCCCCGCCCTGGTGAACTGCTGCACCATCGATTGGCTGCAGCCGTGGCCGGAGGACGCGCTGCTCGCCGTGGCGAGCAAGTTCCTCGGCGAGATCGACATGCCGACGGAGGAGCGTCAGGCCTGCATCGAGATGTGCCAATACTTCCACATGTCTACGCAGGATCTCACCAGGGACTTCCGCAGGATGCTGAATCGTTACAATTACGTCACGCCGACGTCGTACCTCGAGCTCATCAACACCTTCAAGGACCTGCTGGGTCGAAAGCGAAAAGAGATCCTGGACAGCAAAAAACGCTACGAGGGCGGACTCGATAGGCTGGACAGCACGCACAAACAGGTCGAAAAGATGCAGGAGATCCTGGTGGCCTTGCAGCCGAAGCTGTTGATAGCTGCGAAGGACGTGGAGCGTATGTTCTTGGACGTGCAGCGGGAGAGCGAGGAAGCCAGCGCGATGGAGCAGGTCGTCAAAAAGGACGAAGAGGCCGCTTTGGTGAGGGCACATTCTCTCGATTTAAAATACGCGATTTGAAAGTTACTCATCGTCAAATTGCACATCGGAGATTAATTTACTTACAGTGCACGGTAAAAAGTTTTCTGTTAAAAACCGTCCACTGAAATGTTACATTACTTTAACTTTAAGGTGAATGTTAAGAAGTAATTTAACAAGACGAAATATTAACAAGATTAATATTAACAAGATGAATATGTTAATTTAATATTATATTTGTGTAGTTCTTTAATACATCCCTCATGTTAAAACAACACAAGAATTTCTGCAGATTTTTTGACACAAAATTTTTTTACCGTGCAGTTCATTTCTAATTCCTCTTCGGGATTGAAAAATAATCGAGCGCGATCTGAACGATTTTGATATCGTTAGGTACCAAAGTATATTTAATCGGTCCTTCGATCTTTTGAAAATCCGCCATTTAATTAATTCTAAACTTTGACGGTAGATATGTTTTGATTGACTCATTTTTAATTGGTAATTTTGAAATTGTCAGGTCGTCGCCGCGGAAGCCAACAAAATCCGCGCGGAGTGCGACGCGGATCTGCAGCAAGTGATGCCGATACTGAACGCGGCGAACGAAGCACTGAACACCTTGACCCCGCAGGACATTCAGATCGTGAAGTCCATGAAGCGCCCGCCGGCCGGTGTGCGATTGGTCATGGCAGCGATCTGCATATTGAAAGTGATTACGATTATTACATTTTCCGAGGCGACGTTGCAGATATTGATAAACTAATTAATCCCTTTGCGTAAGATTCGTTCATTTTCCTAAATTTCGTTGAATTTAATTTACGATAATATCCAAATGTTAATACACACAAAATATTAACGTTTTTACCTTATTGTTGAACATTTTCGACGTAGATTGCAGAATTATATAGTAATTGGGGAAAGCAATTAAATACGGTCACAAGACCGGGCATAATTGCTGGGAAATTACTACCCTGACACCTGTCTCCGCCGCAGGACGCGAAGCCGGAGAAGATTCAGACTGCGGAGGGCGTGGTGGAGGACTATTGGAAGGCCTCGCTGCGCATATTGGGCGACATGCGGTTCCTAGAGTCTTTGCTCACCTACGACAAGGACCATATCCCGGAGCGGATCATGACGAAGATCCGCACGACGATCCTGACGAACCCGAACTTCGACCCAGAACACATCAGGACCGTGTCGACCGCCTGCGAAGGTCTCTGCCGTTGGGTGTTCGCGTTGTCGGAATACGACAAGGTCGCCAAGGTGGTAGCGCCGAAGAAACAAGCACTGGCTCAAGCCGAGGCCGACTACGCCTCCGCGATGGAGCAGTTGAAGCTGAAGAGGATCCAGCTGCAGGAGGTGCGGGACAGATTGGCCAATCTCGAGACTCTGTTGGCCCAACGAAAGGCGGACTACAAGGCGATGAACGAGGAGGTGAAGGAGTGCGAGGAGAAGCTGAGGAGAGCCAAGGAGCTGATCGGCGGACTCGGCGGCGAGTACGCCAGATGGTCGGAGAACGCCAAGTAACGACTCCGCGCGCACTGATAAAAAATTATAGTTATTTTCGGCGCTAAACATAAACCTTTTTCTATTTTAATCACAAAAATAGTCGGCAGAACCATTTTTCTAGCGAGTGTTAATGCAGCGTCAGTGATGATAACCTTACATGTACGTTGCTACTACTGTTAAATACGTTTGACGCCGAAAATCATGATAATTTCCTATCAATGCGTACATTTATTCTCTATCGTGATTACAATTTTCATGCATCCTAAATAACACTCGACGAACAACTTGGAGTAACTTCCTCGAGACTTTGGCTGGTCTCTCGACGGGAGTGACGGATCTCTTCTGTCGGCAGATCGCTCGGCGAAAAGTATTTCAAGCTGACAGGCGACATCCTGATCAGCTCGGGGGTAGTGGCTTACTTGGGCGTGTTCACGACGCAGTTTCGACAGCAGCAGCTGGAGAACTGGGTGGCATTCTGCACCAGTCTGAACGTCGTCTGCACCTACGACTACCAGTTGACTCAGGTGCTGGGCGAGCCGGTGCTTATCAGGTCCTGGAATATATTCGGCCTGCCGACCGACCTCTTCTCCATCGACAACGCCATCATCGTCAAGAATTCGCGCCGATGGCCGCTGATGATCGACCCGCAGGGCCAGGCGAACAAGTGGGTGAAGAACATGGAGAAGGCGTCCAACTTGAACGTCATCAAGCTGGACCAGCCGGATTACGTGAGGGTCTTGGAGAACGCCGTGCAATTCGGGCAACCGGTCCTGCTGGAGAACATCGGCGAGGAGTTGGACGCAGCTCTGGAGCCGTTGCTCATGAAGCAGACCTTCCGGTCCGGCGGCGCGCTCTACATCAAGATCGGCGACACCATCATCGAGTACTCCGACAAGTTCCGGTATATATTGGTAGAAAAATATACTCAGTATTTGTAATTAGAATACCCTAACTAAACCAACAAACGCCAAATAATAGTAATATTATATCAGCGTTATAATTTCTCGCTCAAATTGCTTGGGAATGGAGAAGACTTTAATAAAGAAGGATAAATTCGCGCTTCGACGTTTCTATCAATTCATTGTGCATTTTACGAGCTCGTGAAACTCGCCTGAAACTCAACTTTCTAATTGACGTCTTTACGCGCCGCACGACTTCCGTAGATTTTACATCACCACGAAACTGCGGAATCCGCATTACCTGCCGGAAGTGGTGGTGAAGGTGACGTTGCTGAACTTCATGATCACTCCGGTCGGTCTGGACGATCAGCTTTTGGGTATAGTCGTCGCAAAAGAGAGACCCGACCTCGAAACCGAGAAGAATCAGCTGATAATTCAAGGAGCAGCTAATAAAAAGTACGAGTCAAACCTTCCAGCTGTTCGATCCTATCTCTCGTTATTTTACGTAGGAAGTACATGTCGAATAATTGTAATTGCGAAAGATCATTTTATTGGATAATTACGTTTTGCACGCGGAAAATTATTACGGGTGGTGCATTAAAAAACACCTACGCGAACAAATTGATCGTTGATAATTATTTCAGGCATCGTTACTTTTACACGATGGCGCGAAGTTGTCGGTAGAAACGGTAATGATAAATAAATACAAGTAAATTGATATAAAACGGGATGAATTTCGCATTTCGTAATTGAATATTAATTTCGTGAACCTCTATTCACCTCCTCTCCTCCTCTTTCTCCTACCCTCCCCCTTCTCCCTCTCTCTCGCCTCACAACTCGGAACTATCATTGCCTCGACGAGCGATGTGTGTGTATCGGGGTGTCTTTTCGTAGGATGTTACAGGAGATAGAGAGTGAGATCTTGGAAGTATTGTCGGGCGCCCAGGCGAATATACTCGAGGACGAGACAGCCATTGCCGTGTTAAGCTCCTCAAAGACTCTGTCCGACGAGATTCAAGCTAAGCAAACCGCCGCCGAGGTCACCGAGAAGTCTATCGACGCGGCGAGATTGGAGTACACGCCGATCGCGGTCTACAGCACGGTCCTGTTCTTCACAATCGGTGAGCGAGAATAGAAAAAGCAACGGATTCGTCGGTAGACAGAGGAGCGAAATTACGCACATGATAGTAACATTGCTCTCATTCGCAGAGAAACTACCCGCAGGGTCGGAACGAAATTTTACATGTCAAAATCATCGTATCGTTATTTCATGTTGTCACATCATCATCACATCGTCACGTTGTTACGTCATCGTATCATCCATGTGGGAATATTTCATACATCTCCGTACATATTTCGTGCGATACATTTTCTATGAAATAGAAGCCCCGAAATTTTGACACCGGCCCGTTCTGAAATTCGAACTCTCCGTGTTTCCGGAATTTCGCCGATCGCGAAATTCCGGAATATTTCGCGAGAGGGAGGAGAAAGGTAGTCGAAAAGTGTCGTCGTCGCGACCGTATTTTCCATTCTACCTCTTCTCTCAGCCATGTTGGCGAACATCGATCCGATGTACCAGTACTCGCTCGTCTGGTTCGTCAATCTCTTCAAGAACACGATCGAGAATACGCCGCGTGCGGAGAGCATAAGGCAACGTTTGGAGGACCTCACCAAGTACTTCACCTATTCGCTGTACGTCAATATATGCCGATCGCTCTTCGAGAAGGACAAGCTGCTCTTTTCGATCCTGCTGTCCGTGAACTTGCTGAACAAGCAGGGCGAGCTGTCGATGGCCCAGTGGATGTTTCTACTGACCGGCGGCGTCGGCCTCGAGAATCCCTTCGCGAATCCCACCGATTGGCTGCCGTCGCGGTCCTGGGACGAGTTGTGCCGGTTGGACGACGTGCCGGGATTTACGGTAAAATACGCCCGAACGGCGATAGCCGAGAAACGTTACGACATTAACGTCGACGTTACACCTTTCGTGTAAAAAGGAACTCGCATGCCACGAACGCGAGAATGAATCAAATCTTCCCGAGAGATTTCCTCGCGGTTCCTCACCTCCGGACAGAAATATCGACAAATTCGTCGGCGGAAGCGAATCGTGCTTCGCAAGAAGATGTAACGAAATTGTATCGCTTGATAGATTCGCGGGAAATGTGTCACTTCGGCACGTTCCGAACGGCGACGATTTTTCAAACCGCGAAAAGTCACACTTCGTCGAAATAACTTGGTCGCAAGTAAAAATTCCGATTGATGAGATCCGTTGATCTGTTAATTCCGATTGATAAGCGCCGTTATTCGCGCGCGAGATTAATTGCTTCCTCCGGCCGGAATCGCTATTTCTCTCTCTTGCGAGTCTCTCGCGCACTTTATTGTCCAGGGAATAAAAGACAACTACACGAGAAACGTCGGCGAGTGGAAGAAGGTATTCGATCACAGGGAGCCTCATACCCTCCTTTTTCCCGCGCCTTGGAACAAACTCGGCAACTTCGAAAGGATGCTGGTGCTTCGTTGCATTCGTCCCGACAAAATCATGCCGGCGGCGCAATTATTCGTCAAAGGTAGTTACTTAAAAAAAAAAGTAGTGGGGGGGGGGGAAGGGGAGAAGGAGGCGCAAGGAAATAGAAGGAAAAAGAAAAGCCCGGAACGTTCGCGTCCGCGCGCCACGGGATAAATAAATCGATCTAGATAAAGAGAAAAACGCCCCGGCGAATCCGGGACATCCTATACACGCTGGTAAAGAGAAGGAATTAAATTCTCCGCGATAGAGCGCGATCCTTGAGGACCCGGAGAGACGACGCGACCCACGCGCGCGTCCCACATCCTCGCGAAGATCCTCCCGCGAAATCCCCGTGGTGTATCGCGGAATCACGCGACGTGGCGCAACTCGGTTGAGATTTCGCCGCGGCCCCGGCTAATGGTTATGAATAATTCCGGCCGGTCTGTCCTCCGGGGACGCTAATTCGCCCCCGTTTTCCTCGGGCAGAGCAATTAGGGCATCAATTCATCGAGCCACCGCCCTTCGACCTGCCGGCCTCCTACGCGGACTCCAACTCCTGCGTGCCGCTCATATTCGTCCTGACGCCCGGCGCGGATCCCATGGCGATCCTGCTGAAGTTCGCCGACGACCAAGGCTTCGGCGCCAGCAGGCTGTTCTCGTTGTCCCTGGGTCAGGGCCAAGGGATCATAGCCGTCGGTCTCATTGACGAAGGCGTGAAAAACGGCACTTGGGTGGTGCTGCAGAACTGCCACGTCGCCAAGAGCTTCATGCCCGCCCTGGAAAAGGTGATCCCTGGCGGGCGTGCGTGTCCGCCGGCTCGACGCGTTCAACATTTCGTTTCGCGCGGATGGAATTTCAGAAAGACCCCGGCTCCCATTTTTATTTCGGACCGCCGCTCTTGACAGATTCATCGTATTGAAATCTGGAGTTACGATTGCTTGAGAAATCGGATTTTAAAATTTTCACAAATTGCTACAAAATTGTATACACGGAAGAAATATCAGTCTAATCAATGACAGACACATTCTCGTGTATAAGCATGTTATAATCTTCTTAGAAGATTTTTAGCCTTGATTCAAGGGAATTTGTATTGTTACAAGTATTACTTGGACTCAATCCAGGACTAAAAGCCTTCTAAGAATATAATAATATTTTTATTTATATACGAGAATATATCTATCGTTGATTTAAGGAGATGCGGCCAAGTGCCGCGTTTTCAGTGGCGCGTCAAGGGAGTCTCTCATAAATTTACTATTTATCAAGCAAATTTTCTTTCCTATATATTTATTTCACTAACCAAATAATAAATGTTGATTTGTTATGAAGCTGGGGTAAACATGTACGCAATATTACAAATATGGAAATATTATTTTTTGTTTTCCTCATTAATACTATATTTATGCATCAGTTGATCTAACAGAGATCTAACACAGATAATAGAAAGAAGTATATAAGTGTTTAAATATAACCTTGCATACATGCATATAAGATACATATTATCTTGAATATTACTATAAATTATAAACTTTCCATTATTTTCCATCATGCTTTTAAAACGAAACGGTCAATAATTCCGAAATTTGTCTATAATATCTGTATTAGTCTTTAATATTATAGTAGTTTTTTTAAATTTCCATCTTTTACACTAATATGTCAAGTTAAAAGAAATTTCGTGTTTTATGAGCTTTCTGTGTTTGCACATGTTTATAATTAAATATCTCAAGACGATACGGGGAAGATTATTTATTGAAATTCCTGTTACGCGTTGTTAGTTTGACTTTTAACTTAACTTTTGTATCATGTATATATCACAGATTTATTTTATATTTGGTCAAACATTCGAATCTCCTTAAGATTATTTCTTTTTTATGTATATAAAAAATATATAATATTATTTAATATTATATATTATGTGTATATGTATATATAAATAATATAGAGATCACAGATGTAGATAAAAAATTAATTATATGATAATATATGATAAAATATAATATCATAAATTAAATATATAATAATATATATATGCATTATTTGTAAGGTGTTCTCTCTCTTTCTCTCTCTATCGCGTTCAAAAGATACATCTCTTCGCTTCAATCCTCTTTCTCATTTCCACCTTAGATCTGCGAGAACTTCACGCCGGACACGGTGCATCCGGACTTCCGGCTTTGGCTGACGAGCTACCCGTTCGAATACTTCCCAGTCAGCGTTCTCCAGAACGGCGTGAAGATGACGAACGAGCCGCCCAAAGGACTGCGCGCGAATATCCTGCGATCTTTCCTGCAGGTAGACAATACCCCTCTCTCTCTCTCTCTCTATCTCTATTTTCATTCGCGCCGAATTAAGATCGCGAGATAAGATTAACGCTAGCGATCGGATTAAATGTTGCGGCAGGATCCGATAAGCGATTCCGAGTTCTTCGACAAGTCGTCGCAGGAGAGGGCCTTCAAGAATCTGCTCTTCTCCCTCTGCTTCTTTCACGCCATCGTGCAGGAGCGCCGGAAATTCGGGCCGATCGGCTGGAACAATCAGTACGAATTCAACGAGACGGATTTGCGTATCAGCGCGCTGCAGCTGAGGATCTTCCTCGACCAGTACGACGACGTTCAGTACACCGCGCTCAAGTATCTGACGGGTATGCGAGAGCGATATTTCGTTGCCTCTGCCTCATATGCTTAAATGTCTGCCCGATATCGTCGCACTTCCTGCGATCGCGATGTTCGCTCAAACGGGATATTGACTGACGTTGGAAACGCACCGCGAGGGCTTTTAAGAATGAAACTCACCAAGGAAGTTTTTAATTGAACGCCTGCGAAGGGAATTTTCAGGAAGAAATTAAATCCCCGATTAAATTCTAAGATTGGATTTGAAGCAGCGCCGAGAATAGAACGTAGATAACAGAGAAACGGAGTGATCGTCCGAAAGTTATCGGGCCGAGGAAAAATTTATTTATATCTTTTTATGCGTTATACAGAGAGAGTGTAAGGCGATGACTATTGCCACCTTGCATATCTTCGAAAAATAAAAATATCTCATCGACGATTGGATAAAGGTGAAAAAAGTTTACGCTTGCAAAAGGTGCCCGAAGTGATGACCATTGGTAGAAATGTAATTTCTGATGGATACATTTTTTCCTACTCTCACATTTCGAAGTTATTCAAGGTGGTAATGTTAGATTGATGAAAAGTTCGTTCCGTCGTTAATAAAAGTATACGTATAACATTTATTAATTTATTTATTTATTTATTAAGATACAGTCATTTAATTAAGTACACAGAGAGAAAGGTTCCTTTAGATTTAGCACACATGTTTGTTCGACAAACAGCATAATTTAATATCAAATATAATTTTCTTCAAATGAAAATATTAACGCTTCACAAGAGTAAATCATGTTGTTTGATAGAAAAGGTAGTATTACTTAGAAATGTTTTTTTCAATAAAAACAAATGCTCTATTATATATTACATATTATTTCATTGAAACGAAAAAATCCTCTAATATTTTCCTTACACATAATGTTATTTCCTTTACATAACTTATTGCTTGTGACAATTATTATGTTTGAATGAAGATACAAAAGAAATATGTTACTTGACGTAAAGATATTTATTGTCTGAGGAATGAAACAATCCAAAACTAAACAACAAATGTTTGTTGAATCAAGTATTCGTTTGTTTGCTCCATTCCGAAAGACAAATTACTCTGTGTACGCGTCGATTTGTTCGATAACTCGCTGCATGATACAGCGTTTGTAGAAATTCTGGGTTTTCTCAGCAAAAACTGATTGAAAAACGGAACGAACTTTTGCATCAACCAATCCCAAGTACGGGAGAAAACTACCAAAATACGAAACAATTATTGGTGTACAAAAACAATAGTCCTTCGATAGTATACCAGTAATTTTTTCGTATTCTCGTAGTTTTTTCCCCGCACGGGAATAGTTGCTACTTCAACCAGTGCGCTATATTCGCGTTCATTTTCTCTAAGCAGAATCACGGCGTTGATGCGCTTCTAATTATTCAAACACGAGCACTCGAGCTCCAGCGAATTAACGCGGCGTTGCTCTCTCGAGGGAGAAAAATACGTATTTCCGAAATCTCGGTCGAATTAGCGAGATGCGCGTGTGAAATTTTTCGCGGTAGGAGCACGCGATCGTTCTCCGCCGCGATTCAAAGCCCCAAAAGCGGGGTGATACGAAAGTAACACCGAAAACATATTAATGGCGGCTCTCATTAGCGCGTCCTTTGATCCTTCGCCTCTTCCCCTTCCCCATTTTTCGTCAAGGCGAGTGCAACTACGGCGGCCGGGTGACCGACGAATGGGACCGACGGACGCTGATCACGATCTTGGAGCGGTTCTACCACGAGCAAGTCGTGGTCGACGAGAAATATCTCTTCGACCCAAGCGGCCTGTATTACGTACCTCCGGTTAGCGAATATAGTCTATTCCTGGACTACGTGAAGGAATTGCCGATGTCTACCGCGCCTAGTGTCTTCGGTATGCACGAGAACGCGGACATTATCAAGGATCAGCAGGAGTCCTACTTGATGCTGTCCTCCATTCTGCTCACACAGGTGCTACTAGTCTTGGCGTAATTTTCTCTCTCTTTTCTGCTCCTTCGTTTTGTTTCCTCGTCGTCATTGGAAGAGGGGAAATTTAAATATAAAACAAAGTACGGTTATGCTTAGATAGAATGTTCGGATAATATTTTTATAAAAAATATGTAGGCGGGAAATTGCAGTGCATTGTTTATTGCCAATTACTTACTGATCGATTTCGCTCTGGTTTTCGCTGTGTCGATGAGTTTAAGTGATATTTTACCGTAGCTCTATTATCGCACGCGAGCTCACTCGTTTCCTTCGATTCCATTCTTTCGCTTCTGCTTGCACTCCGATTGATCTCCTCACTTTGCGCGGAATTAATGAATTTTCTATGTCACGAGCACAACGGAATAATGAGAATTACTGTTATCTTTTCATCTGCGTGCAGAACGTCGAGGAGATTCAAGTAAGTAACGTTTATTCAGGAAAGTATAACGTTTGGAAAGCGACTACTATAACGGTATCCTTTAATTTTCATGCGACATAGCTAAGGAAATCGAGGAAGCAGGTAACATTCCCATCCGTTACACAACGTTAAACGTACAGGTGGAAACTGTTGGCGAAAAAGAAATCCGGATGAAAAGTTTTGCTTCGCATTCTTTTTACAAAAAGTCACGCGTTTCACACGCATACACACGTTGTTGTTTATTATAACAGAGCGAATATCATATCATACACTGACAAACCTATTTAGTTGACTCAAATAATTCTTGTTCGGATATGAGCAAATAAATGTTTTGGTTGTGGAAACCAAAATTTTGTCCCTTGAACCGAACCTTTTTCATTCTTGTTCCAAAAAACCAAACTTTGGTTCTCGCAACCAAAACGTTTGTTTGTCCATAACGATAGACAAAAATTTTGTTCGAGTCAACTAAATAGATTTCTCAGTGTACGTGCGTGGAGAAAAATAATATGCTGACACAGCAAATTTTTCAGCATTTTAAGTCGCAGCAAAATTTGTTGATTACTATGTGGACAGTAAAACGATTTGTTAAGAGTACTAATTGCCATCTGCTAAATTATTTTGCTATAAGTACAAATTAGTAAATATAGGAAAACAATATATTTTGTTCTAACAGCAAACTGGCGTGTTCTAAGGACAAATTTACTCAGCAGGATATTTTCTATCCTGGGCAGTTATTATGGAACTGTTCAGAATGGATTCCGATCGAAATCGTGAAGTTATTTTCTAGATTTTCTTTCGTCTTTTACTTTCTTTTATATTTTTAGGGAATAATTGAGCGATTCCGATCGGAATCAATTCCGAATAAGTTCATAGTACGTGCCCTGGTAACGAAACTGTTTCTGTTTGAATTGCGAATAATTCGCTAATTTAATTATGCTAACTAAATTTTATCGCTATTAGAACGAATATATAGTATCAACGGTGGTTTCACTACACAGCAAAATTATTTCTTTCCGTGTATTACTTGTCACACACACACACACACACACACACATACATATTATGATAAATAACATACGATAAATTATTTAAAAAATCACAAAAATAAAACGGATATAGTAGAATACGCAGCGCGAGAAAGAAGTTTTTGGACGCTTCATATTAAAATCCGTAATGAAACGTTATTGAATCGCAAGTCGACTTTTCGCGCTCTAATTTAAAACCCGACAAGGTGAATTCAGCCGTCGGGCCACGTTGACGGAATTATATCATCGCGTGGTTCAGCGGCGATCTCGTTAAAAGTTCGCCAGGACCGCAAACGTTAAGAAAATCTTCCGATGTTTCGCCAGGACGCCGGCCAGGTCGACGACCCGGGCGTGAAGTCCCCGGATGAGATCGTCTACGGGGTCGCGTTTGATATCCTGTCGAAGTTGCCGCAGGATTACGACCTGGTGGTCGCGTTGGAGAAGTATCCCACGCGCTATGAGCAAAGCATGAACACCGTGCTGGTGCAGGAGATGGGCAGGTTCAACAAACTCCTAAGTACGATCAGGAGCAGCCTGGTGAACCTGCAGAAGGCGATCCGAGGTGAAGGACGCGACGAAGCGCGGGCTGCACGGAAGAAAATCTCGTTAAATCAATAAAATTTCCAACAGTAGCGCGATTGGAACAGATCTTCCTGATTCAATGACAAATATCTAACTTGAAACTACTGTGTTGTGTATTGTTTCAGTAATTAAAGTATTAGTTCAAAGTTCAGTTCATTAGTTTCAATGACATCGCCATTGAATCAGAAGGATTCGCTCCAGTTACTCATGCTGTTGGAAATTCTATCGATTCAACAGCCGTGCGCTTTTCATGCGGATGTAAGTCCTACGGTTCTGCCGACAGGTCTGGTGGTCATGAATCCTAATCTCGAGGAGGTTTACACGTCGATCATCACCGGCAAGATACCGAAAATGTGGATGCACGCCTCTTACCCCTCCCTGAAGCCGCTCGGCAGCTACGTACAGGACTTCCTGAAGAGGCTGCAATTCCTGCAGGTGCGTTCGGGAGAAAACGCGAAGGTTCCACGGTGACGACTGGATCGAAAAAACGCGCTTGTTTCCGCTTTTCTCCAGACCTGGTACGAGGAGGGGCCCCCCACGTCTTACTGGATCTCCGGCTTCTACTTCACCCAGGCGTTCTTGACCGGCGCCCGGCAGAATTACGCGCGGAAATATTCCATTCCCATCGACCTGCTGATCTACGACTTCTTCCCTCTGAGAGACACCGTTCACGCGAGCCCGCCGGACGACGGCGTCTACGTCTACGGATTATTTTTCGACGGGGCTCGCTTTGATATGAACACGATGAGGCTCGATGAGTCCCTGCCGAAGATCCTCTACGACACCGTGCCCCATGTAAGCAAACATAGTCGCCTCGAGACTTAATCCCCTTCACGGAGCTTTCCGCGCAATTGTCGGAGGGTCGTATCGCGTTCCCGTTGGACAAACATTTCGGCAAATTCGGGTTAACCCTCTTGTCGGGATATCATATAATGGATGCTTATAATACACGTCGACAAGAGAGATCGAATTTTCAAGCGCGATAATTCCACTTTTTCGGGGATACCGACACGTACGTGCACGGAGAGAAGATGAGTATCAATTCAAGACCCATATTCTCATATATGAGCAAGAGTATGTAAACTTATATGAAGATAAAGTTTGCTTACATGAAAAACTCAGTTCCACTAAAAATATCATTATTGTTAGACGAAAATAATTTTCATGAATTGGGAAGAAGAAGTATTGGATAGAAAGAACGATATCTTTATACTAAGAATTGTATCGGTTTTTTCATCGTCCTTTCAATTCATGAAAATTATTCTTGAATAACAAGAATACGATATTTTTAATAGTGGAATATGTAAAATCTCTTCAGTAAGTTTTATCTTTACATAAGATTATACATTCTTGTTTATGTATGAGAATATAAGTCTTGAATAGTTATACTAATTGTTTTTCCGTTTGTATGTTTGCACTGAGAAAAGAGTTTGGTTGAGTCGACCTGATAATGAACAACAAAATGTGTTTTAGTTAAGGGAAACAAAATTTCTAGTTCTCATGAATCAAATTTGATTCTTATAACTAGAAATTCTGTTTTGTTGATGTCTGAAACGCGTTTAGTTGTCCACTATTAGATAGATCCAACTAAACTCATTTTTCAATGTAGATACGTCCAATTTTTCCTTTCCACTCCGAGCGTTGTTGGCAAAATATAATGAATATCGCCGTGAATAAAAATTCACCGCGAAATTCCATAATAAAATAAAGAGAAATCTCGTTATATGACAGAGATATTTATCAGTTCAAAATTAAATCGTTCACTTTAAAGTATTAAAATCCGAATTAGATAATTCATTTCAAAAAATTAAATCAGTTACACCCGATTGTGATAAATTTACCCTGACGAGGTTAACGCGTCGATAACGGCCCGAATCTCACATTACACCGGCAGCTTTGGTTGAAACCGGTGACAAAGGATCAGGTGCAGAAGGGGAAAACGTATACGTGTCCTGTCTACAAGACCAGCGAGAGGAAAGGCGTCCTGTCTACCACCGGCCATTCCACCAACTTTGTCATCGCGATCTGGCTGCCGACGGAGCACCCGTCGGAGCATTGGATCCTGCGAGGAACCGCCATGCTCTGCCAATTGTCGGAATAATAGAGTCGATCCTGGTCGATGGGCAGAGCGGTGGTCCTCGGGGGACCGAAGATCTCGGGAGGAGTTGCTCCCGAAGAAATCCAACTCGTGAAAATCGATCTCGACGATTCCCCGACTCTTTTATGAGTCAAATAGGATTCACGAGGATTACTTGAAGACGGAAAGAAGAGGTTCTCGAGAGGAGAGTGGCTTTCTCGAACCTTCGACGGGAGCTAAGTGCTCGGGAACACTGCGCGAGTGAGATGTTACACTTTGTATTCTGATTCGACAATAGAGGATGTGGAAAGAAATGACAAATCTAAATAATTATCACGACGCGACCGAGGAAGTCAATAATGCAAAGTCGGGAGGTTTCTGCGAGAAAAAAAGCCGGGATTTCGTCGTCCGCCGGATTTCACGTGAGAAAAAATGAAGCGTCGCGCGATCGGCTAGTAAACGGCGTCAACCCTCTTGTCGTTCTATTGACAAACAATGCCGAAGAAGTGCGTACGAAAAGAGCGCCGCGGTGGCAATCGAATGAAAAGAGACGAGAGGAAGATATAGAGTAGAAAGAGAGAGAGAGGGAGGGAGGGAGGGAGGGAGAGTGAGAGAAATTCTACGAGAAAATTCCCGGCCAATTTAATTAAGAGAGAAAGAGGGGAAGGGGTTAGTTTCCTGAACTCTCTCTCTCTCTCTCTCTCTCTCTCTCCCTCTCTCCTGATTTCCTTTTTCGTCCTCGGCGCCATATTCGCGGTGCTTCTTCTCGCGTTATCCCGCCGCGTTGCACAGTTGCCGGTATTTATTATGTGGGATGTGGCGCTTTCGGGGCAAGAGGGAAACGAGGGCGAGAGAGAAAGAGAGGGAAAGAGAAAGAGACGGAGCGGCGGAGGGCGGCTGGGTGTGTGGGGGTGGGTGGCTACAGCGGCTTGGCGGCACCCTGTCTACCCGGACCGAGATCGCCGGAGGCTCGTTGCCTAGCGACCCTGTATTGATCTCACCCCGTATCTCGTCTCTACCCCTGTTCCACATGAGCCCCGTTCCCTCTGCCCTCCCTCGTTTCTACCCTCTCGCGCTCGCCCTCTCCGTCCGTCTTTCTTTCTCGCTCTCTTTCCGCGTGTCCGTCTCCTCCCCCTTCCTTTCTCTTTTTCTCTCTTTCCCTCTTTCCCTCAGCCGTCATCCCTCCCCGATCACGTTCCTCTCTCGATTATTACGTGGAACATATTTCTCGTTGTATAATTTTACACCCCGTGACGTTCCAGCGGCGTCGCGCGCGTGTTCCCGAACAAGCCTGTTCCGGGTGGCCGACGGGACACCGTATGCGAGAAGAAATACAAACGATTAATTCTCCCCCTCTCTCTCTCTCTCTCTCTCTACATTTCTTGTTCTCTCGCAGATGCCCCTCTCAGCCCTTCCCCCGGCCGGCGCATCCCTCTTCGTCTTCTCGCGCGTCCGATACTTCGACCTCGTCTTCCTCGCTCCGAACTGGAACCCCTCCCCCGGCTCTCTCCCGCTCGGTTCTCCAGCAAGCTCCACTTTCTTGCTCAGAACGTCCTCTCTCCACTTTTACGGATCGGTCTATTAATTCATAGTCATGACCGCGGTCACCGGCTCCTGCCGATTCAGATTACCTCGCGAGTCTGATTGTCCCGCGGGCACGTCGACGTTCTCGTTACAGCCGGAAGTGCGGAATGACCACCGGCAGCCCTTTCTCTTCTATTCAATTTCGAGATTTCATCCGGGCTCTCGAAAAATTGACGATCATAATTAGAGGAAGCCGCGAATGCCAGGACGCAGAACGCACGGCGGACTTGCGACGGCTTTTTCCCGACGGGGGAAACGCGCCGAGCTTTTCCCGACGTTCAATGCGAGCGGGAAATTTCTGTATACAAACAACGATAACCGGGCACGATAAAAACAGACGCACGACATTCGCATAAAACATAAATTTCCGTACGTGCAATGGAAATAATTGTGTTTACCCGACACGGGTCTCGCAAATCGAGTTCGTTTACCCTCAGCTTACCGTCATCTTGTTTCTTTTTATTTTTAACCCTCCTTCGTGCTCGTATCTCTCTCCCTCTCTATCTATCTATCTATCTATCTATCTATCTCTTTCTCTCTCTCTCTCTCTCTACTTTTTCCCTCTTTCCATTTATCTCGCTTATTTTTTGCTCCGATCTTCTTTTTGTTCTCTCTTTCCAACCTCGCTGCCGTTCTCCGTTACATTTTGCCTTCGCGCGAAGCACCGTCCTTCGGATTAAGCTGCGACTCGACCCGTGAAGAAAATATGTGATTATACCCGTTGCAATTTCATAAAGTGCACTCCGTTCCCGCCCCCGGTTGCTTCCTTCTCGATTCCCTCAGGCCCCACTGTGCCCTCTGCGCTGTGCGAAATTTCTTTCTGCTTCGCGATGTCGCATGAATATGATTTTGTCCGAAACTTGATTGAGTTCGCCGCGCGCGAATAACAACCACTTCCTTTGAAACGCATTCCGGCATCTCTATTTCCAATTTTCCCACGTGTCTTACGTTTTTTTCTACTCTTTCTCTCTTGTAATCGTTGGATATAATTTCGAGATTATATTACGTGGAAATTGAAGAGCACGTATTCGCTTTGAATCTATCTTCGTCACATCATTCATGCGAATTTCGCAGATGAGTCCGAGATTTAATACAGAGAAAGAGAAAAAGATAGAATTTGCGTAATAAACATTTATAATAATATACATACAAAGAGAAAAAGGTTTCTTTGGATTTAGCACACGTGTTTGTTTGAAATGGGTTTCTTTAATGTAAACAACGTAATTTAGTATCAAATATTATTTTGTTGGAAAGAAAATTTTGTCGTTTTACTAAGATAAACTATGTTGTTCGATAGTAAAAAACAATATTATTTAGAAGCAATAATATTTCGTTTTCAATACAAAAAAATTTATTTCATTATATATTAAATATTGTTTCACTGAAATAGACATATTTAATATTTTCCAACATAGTGTTATTTCTTTAGAATAATTTATTGCTTGGCAACTATTATAATGTTTAAATGGAAATATAAACGAAATTATATATTATTTGACATAAAGATATTTATTATTTGGGAAACAAATTATTTGTTTGTTCCAAGAAAACAAAAATTGCTTTCGATTAAAAAAAAATTCATCAAACCCAGAAATATTTTTCTCCGTGCACTACGGCGTACGGCGGCAACGGCGCCAAAATGTTCGCGACACTGACGTGCGAAAAATACGATCGAATGCAGTTTGTGTCACGTTATTACGTCCGACGTGGGAAAAAGTTGCAACGCACGACAGCGCGAAAAATGTTCGCGACGATGTGTGAAAACACGATCAAATGCGAATCGTGTCACATTATTACGTCCGACACAAAGTTCGCAATTTAAATATTTAAATATCGACGCTTCGTTCTCGCAGCGAATAATTGGCGATACGCGCGATCGTTCGGCGGCGTTCGCGCTCGACGTTCACATCGGCCGTCGGCGAGCGATCAAAGGGTTAATCGCGCGCCAATCAATCAACCCGATCGGGAGCTGCGGTTGAGGCCCGCTAAGAACGCGTCGCTTGAATGGAAGTCAGCCATCGATACACAGGCGAGCCGAGGAGATACGGAGAGGGTGAAAACTCACGCGCGTCAGGTCCTCCTCGCATCCATCCCTCTGGCCCTCCCACCCCCNAATTTCTTTGTTGCGCCTACACTTCGGGGGCGATGGGGCGAGAAAATTCGAGGGGCAGGGAGGGCCCGGGCGAGGGCGGCACGGGGGATGAAATAGGACGAGAGAGAGGCCAGAAATGGCGACCCTCTTTACTTTTACCTTCGACGATCCCGCGCGTGGAGATTTTCGGGACGCACGGCGACATCCCGGCTGAGCTGCACTCCTCCGTCGTAGATCGCTGCTAATTTCAGGGCAACAGGTGACACGTGGGGGACGGGTGAGGGGGAGTGAGGACTTTAATTAAATGATAATGCGGTCGCCACGGCAATCCTTCGGGGTACTCTCGCATGCGCGCGGGATGCTCTACGGAATTTTTATCCGGATCGGTCGCGTTCGGGATATTCGTTACAGGGATTGCCGTTAATTTTCCAATAACAAACAACGCCAATTTCGCGGACGACGATTGTCACAGCTGCCGCTTTCTTCCTGCTTAGCGGTGGACCTTCCCGTGCGTTTATTTTGCTGCAAATCTAACGCAATAACACACAATAACGTTAAATATTATTGATGTTCGTTGCGAATTTTGCCGGGGAAATTGCCGCTGATTACGGGGCAACAGGTGGGGCGGGGTAATTGTCATTGTTAAAAGTTCGCAGGACGCGGGGCGAAATTTGTGGAAATTTCGCCGTGAGACGCGCGCGATTAATGCCTCCTCTATCCATTCTCTGAAACAATTACGGCGCCGCGGCCGATAAGAAGCGATAAGATTTATGATAGATGCACGGGCGGAAGGGTGAGAGGGAGGGAGGCATCTTGGACGCGATTATATCGTTTTTCTCGAACCATAGGGGAATAACTGCGCCGGCGGGAATAAGGGATCACCGCATCAATTTTCATAGCGCGATCAATCTCTCTCGCCGTTTAGCCGTTTTCTTAAGTTTTCGTCGGGAGGAACGCCGGGGGAAAAACAAAGAGGGCGAGATGAATGGCCGCGGCTTTTTATTAAGACAAATGGATCGCGTTGAAAATGGAGCCGACGGCGTGCGCCGCGACCGAATTAATGTTTCGCGCCTGCATTTTCCGCGACGGGGGATAATGAGGCGGACTTTTTCCCGCGATTTGTGATTAATCGTCAACGGGCGAACAATTAACCGATGAAACAGCAATTAATACGCCTGCGACGCTTCAACGACATTGTCCGACGATCCGTGCTGCAGATATTTCGCGCACGTTACAGGCCTATCGGTACTTGTGCGCGATAAATTATTGCATACGCAAGCATGCACGCACACACACTCGCGCGGAAAGATTCACACTGAAAGGTAAATAGTATCATCACGTGAATGAA